TCGAATAACTTCGCAGCCGAAGAAAATACAAATACCAAATAAGTTGTAACATTTACCTAGTCCAGATAACTAATTATTTAGCTAAAATTTATTTCAATATTACAATTAAAAAAGAAAATGTCTGGCTGCGGTAACGTTTCAAACGTTACTCCAGCAGGAAATGTTTTTTTGAAATAACTAAAAAAGTTTAAGTGAAACAAATTTAAAAATGTGCTTAACAATTACAGAAGGGGAGCAACTAATTATCTATAAAGTTTAAATGACCATTTTCGACATTATTTTGCTGGGGTAACGCACACCTTTATATAAGACCTCTAAAGACTTACTTGAAACGTTATTCTATTGCTTGTAACTACCTTCAAATGTATACGAATTTTCGTAGGAATACTGTAAGTGACTAAAAAGTTATGATGAAATGTAGCTCTCCACGTTCACGATCACAATGTGTGCGGCCTTTTTTGGCCACCTATAAACCTGTGTGTGGATATATAAACTGAATGTTATGCCAATAATTAGTTGTTTAGTTCAGTTGTCTACCTGTAGAATTTCAGCGTCGTACATATAATAATTTACGAGATAATTAAATAAAAGTCATTAGAAGGTGCAAGTCCGTGGTAATTCGACCATGTTTAGGTGGTTACAAAAAAGCGAATACCCAGTACATTGCGCTGTCTTTTAAAATGTTTAGTGTAATACACCTTACGATTTCGGTACAGTTGCGTACAGTGTTAAATACATTCAATATTTATTCATTATTATTACCTATTATTTATTTTGTTTTTTTCCCTAATTGATCTTAAGCACTAGTTTCTTTACTTAAAATTTATTTAGTCTTTTTTACTACCGGAGCTACAATCAACAGAAAATCTGCACTGGTCCGCTAAAATTATAAATATGTAGATACATGTATGAACGATTCACCTGACTGCAATAAAACGAAAATTTAAACCAATAAGAAATCGTTTTATTTCTTTGATTTTTTTTTGTAAAGAAATAACACTAAAGTAATTGTATTTTATTTTGGGGTGTATAGAGCTTAGACTTGAATGCATCAAAATATTTAAAGCAACAAGTCATCTACAATAAGTTAAAATAGACCGAATAGTAGAAGAATACAGTTGTAAATTAGAATGCATCAACATTGCATCGCCCAACAGTCGTATACCTCGTAAGAGTAGGTAATATTGTTCTGTGGTCTATACCTAGAACCGAGAATTATCTATACCTATGTACCTACCGTTAAGCGTTGAGCCCGTTACTGTTGATTTCTGTTAAAAACGAACAGTTGTTGAATGATATTTTGATATAATAACGGTAATTTAATTTATCGAGTGAAAGTGATACATTTTTATAGATAAAATTATTGGTCAGATAATATTTGTCAATCAAGAATCGCTGATAATACATCCTTCGCTAGAACGCGGGAGGGGAGGGGCGAAGGGATACTTCATTGTTTGCAATTTGCATCTAGTGCACTAAACTTGACCCTTAGGCAGATTATATACGTGTTGTAAAGTACGTGTGCGCTTCCGCTTTCTATTTTTGCAAATATTTATCGTATTCTTGAGAGTTCTTCAATATGTGTGTACCTAATTACTAATAATAGGCATTAATGCTAATTCGCTTCAATTTAAGTAATTGTCAATTCTTGTCTTAGGATATTAATTACTAATGCTAATATTGAAATTTCGTTCAGGGTGAACAAATTAAAAACGATCATAACTTTTAGGTAGGTATATCACTTATTACTAATTTTACATAAATAATTTATTTTATTATAATTTAACTCACCGCGATTTTGTGATCAAATATTTTATTTTCTCCAACAATATTACAGAAATAATGCAATACAGAGATTGTTCGCGATATGCTAGCCTAAGTCGATGCATCACTTAAAAAAATCCCCATCTATTCACAAAATACCTATTTACAACGCATACGTTACACTCTTCAAAACTTATCATTTCATTTCATATTTCTTAAATTACCTATACCTACCCTAAAATTAAACTTCAATTAACAAATACTACGCAGGTACCAATTCTATGAACAACTATAAACAATTCACCTAAACATTACGAGAAAACAAAAGCATTCAAAACAATACCTAATCTCCCGGCTGATTACTAATTATGCAATAAACAATCCTAAATAAAAAATATTTAAAAAACATGTAGTTTTTTGTAACACTTATGTACATATCCGTAGTAAACTTGCAAATAATATCCTACATATTTTAAAAGCCAGCACAATGTACTGGGTGATCGCTTTTTTGTAACCACCTAAACATGGTCGGGTTACCACGGACTTGCACCTTCTAATGACTTTTATTTAATTATCTCGTAAATTATTATATGTACGACGCTGAAATTCTACAGGTAGACAACTGAACTAAATAACTAATTATTGGCATAACATTCAGTTTATATATCCACACACAGGTTTATCGGTGGCCAAAAAAGGCCGCACACATTGTAATCGTGAACGTGGAGAGCTACATTTCATCATAACTTTTTAGTCACTTACAGTATTCTTACGAAAATTCGTATACATTTGAAGGTAGTTACAAGCAATAGAATAACGTTTCAATTAAGTCTTTAGAGGTCTTATTTAAAGTGTTAGGACGTATTGAAGTGTTTTCATACTTACCTAAATAATTTTTAAACGGTCCATTATTTTTGTTATTTTATTATCGAACAAATTAAAACTAATCCTTAAGAAGTTATGTACAAAAGATGGTTACAATCCGCTTACCCGTTTCAGAGATCCAGCAAACCCACAAACGTTACTCCAGCAGGATTTCGAATAACTTCGCAACCGAAGAAAATACAAATACCAAATAAGTTGTAACATTTACCTAGTCCAGATAACTAATTATCTAGCTAAAATTTATTTCAATATTACAATTAAAAAAGAAAATGTCTGGCTGCGGTAACGTTTCAAACGTTACTCCAGCAGGAAATGTTTTTTTTGAAATAACTAAAAAAGTTTAAGTGAAACAAATTTAAAAATGTGCTTAACAATTACAGAAGGGGAGCAACTAATTATCTATAAAGTTTAAATGACCATTTTCGACATTATTTTGCTGGGGTAACGCACACGATGGCCGGTGCGAGATTTGTATTACTAAGTATATTTTACAAAGTAAATAAATACTCTATTCTTAGAGCAATCAAGTTTAATATTGTACAAATATATCAAAATTTTGCCATAAAAATTTCTCGCCTCGCCGGTGTAAAACTGTTAATTAACAATGATTTATTGAACATTGTATCTTTAATTATCCCCTTAATCCTTAACAAAAACCACCTTCATAACCGATTTTCTTACGTTGTAGTAGTTGAACCAATTCGACTAGCTACATGCATTTTTACTTCGGGCGAAATCGTCTCTTGCAATCATGCAATCATGCACCCCTTTATTACGAACTGGACCAGTTGAGAATTGGACAGTTAGACATTTTGCAAATTGGCTCAAATGCGCGCTAAAAAAAATCTCATGTGATCGTGATTTCGTCATAGAAAAAGATAAATGGCATTAAAATCAATCAAAATTCTTTAACCGAAGATTACGAATAAAAAATTCGATAAAAAGAATTTTGAACGAGATGTCAAGAAGGTGATGTTAATTAGTACCATACTTTTAAAAACGTTCACTAATTAAAAACAAGAAATGTAACACTATATTTCTGTAATGAAACACTTTAATTAAAACTGGCTCACATTTTTATTGATAACAAACTGCGGTAAATATACCTATGTATATGGAATGGCTAAGCGATAACATAAATTGAGACTAATAACAGTTGCTAAGAATGTACAGACAATCATCCTAATAAATCTACATGTGACCTACCAATCGAATGCCTCGATACTGCCTTATAATGTTAAAACATGCTATAATGTATAAATATATTATAAACAGTTTTCACACAAAATGGCATATCAAATTGTAATTCTGGCAGGTTTATTAAAATTATGCTAATATAATGTTACTAATCCAGTACGTATTCTAAACGAATGTAATATCATAACGAGCTTAACAAACGTACACATGTTCCTTAGATTACTAGAATAGCAACTGTAGGTATATCCTAAAGGAGATTTGGGTATATTTCATAAATTGGTGGGTTTGCAAATTGGCTACTTGACAGTATTCGAACCGTGTCTTTCAATTTATAAATGCTACTTTTATATCTACTACATAAACTTATTTTTTTCATTACCTAAAAACGCAAAACAGCGTAAGAACATTTGCTCACGTGACGTGACGCTTTGAGCTATTACGTCATTCACCAAATTCGAAATCTTTAATTTCAGCTAATTATAAAACTATGTAAATAAACATAATCACCTAGCTTTTTCACTGGACTTGTGAAAATGTTGTACTTGTGAAATGAAAATGTTGACTGAGACAAATGTCGTTCAAATGTGGAACTACCTACTACGTTGGAAGTTTACACCATTTAAATAAAGTATGTTTAGGAAACTACGAGGAGTTGTAAAAATATATTAAATATGTAGTCGGTAGATTAAAAAAGTCTCATGTTACCTTGACGATAAAAAGCAGAATGCGCTCTATTCACTATTTAGCTGTTACTAACATATTATTTCTACATAGTATAATGTTTAATACAGCATAATAAATATGTTCTATCAGACTAATAAAATAATTAAAGCTGAGGCTAAAGTAAAACGTGATGCCACACGATGCTAAATTATGGCCACCCGTTTGGGTTTTTAACAGTTCAAAAATCTCAATTTTATAATTATAAAATAAGTTTGAGATTTCAGTTTATGACAAAAAACAAATGTATAATAATTATTTACTTATAAGCTACATCTTCAAGATATTTCAAAGTATACCACTATCAAATAGCCAATTGGAAGTTTAACATTGTGTCAATTTTATTAAGGATATGTATTATCCATAAATTTCAATTAAATTACATTGCCTTTCTGTAATTCAGTCAATATTAATATTACTCAATGGTGGTTCTGTTAATTTCTATTGGCATCTTTGATTTTTTGTTCTTTATACATTTTGAGGACCTTCTTGCCAGGCACCAGTGTTTGGCTCAGACCTGGCCTCTTTAGTTTCTTTTTGTCTGCTCCACCTTCCCAGAGAGCATCATCGGTGGGTGATATTGGGTCGAGGATGGCCAGTGGTGGTGGGGCTGCTGTCATTGTTCCCACACCTTCGCATACAACAGCTTTGAGCTTCTGTAAAATATAAAATTGACATCTAAATTTTACAATTTCTTTTTTTGATAGTTGCATGACTACTAAAGAATATTTTTCTTATTATTATTATTTTAGGTTTTAAATTAAAAGAATTAAAAACAAGCCTATTATTATTTTAAGAAGGATAATCCTATTTTTTTCTGTAACCTATAAAAATAACAGAATTAAGAACTTATTAACAGATATTTAGACCATAGGTAAGACCACTGACTGAGCCTTTAAGATGGGAGAGTAAGTACTCAATATCCATGACTTTAATTTTACATTTTATTAATGTTGTAATACTAAATCTTTATTTTTAATATAGCTATGTTGTAATATTGCTCATATGTATTCATTTCAACTATCTAGTTTTAAACCCAACAAATATTTATGTCGCTACTCAAGCTTATTAACCGACTTCAAAAAGGAGGAGGTTCTCAATTCGATTGGTATTTTTTTTAAGATCTTGATACAAATTAAAAAAACAGTTGATATGGTATACTATAGACATGGAAATTATTGCTATCTTTTATCATAGTCATATGATGCAATGATTGGTTTTAGTCACAGCAATTTCACATGTGATCGTGATTTGGTCATAGACAAAAATCAATGAAGATCTTAGTAATACACTTTCTATTCTATACTATGCGGCTACTGCAGGTTGTCGAGTAGCTGGTGTTAATATAACTGAAAATGTCACTACTACTCGACCTAAATCTACTGCACCAGCTTGGCAGTATAGAATTGAACGTCGTATTGTTGGTAAGATAACTAGCTTTCGATCAGGGAATACGCGGTCGAGAGTGATGCGCTTTGTGAAACGGGCATTCTTGGGGACTGCCATTAGTTCTCAACAGTACATGTCATGTGTCACAGAGCGTATATACTTTCTAAAGCAGAATATTTATGCATGGACGAATAGGATAAGAGGGTATAAAAACCGAATAGATCGGTATAATCAGAATCGAATGTTCCAAAGAAATACGAAGTGGGTGTACCAGAAATGGAAGGAACCGGATCCATGTGTGAGTGACAGGCATTTGCCAGATGAAAATGTCACAAATACATTTTGGCGTAACATCTGAAGAAGGTGATTGGTTGCTAGATCTCAGACGCTCATGTGTGTCTGTAACACCTATGAAACCTGTTACTATTGATGAAAATTATGTAAGCTGTGCAGTTCGTTCATTACCGAATTGGCAATCACCTGGTCTAGACGGACTGCATAACTATTGGCTTCAGTGGTGCCGAAGAAGCTCACATGCGTGTTCATTACCCCAATTTTTAACCACTGGTATAACCCACTTACTCTATAAGTCTGGTAGTGTAATGGATCCCAAAAACTTTAGACCTATCACATGTTTACCAACCATGTATAAACATCTACCATCTATTCTGAGACTCAAAATTACTTTACACATTAATAATAATTCGAATAATAATTCGGCACTACAGAGCTCCTTATCATAGACATGATCATTAGCTAATAGGTACGTCGTCATCGTGAGAGTTTGGCGACATGTTGGCTAGACTATAACAATCAATCAATCAAAGACTAAATCAATTTATCAAGATGGAATTTGGTATAGACAACTGTGCAGTCATGTATGTAAAGAAAGGTGTGATAGGAGAATATGAAGGTACAGAGCTTTCAGATTCAAAAAAACTCAGATCTCTGTCTGCCACTGAAACCTAAAAGTAACTAGGTAGGTATATCACAGTCGTTGGGAATAACAGAATCTGACATGAAACAAACGTTGCAGGAACGCTTTTTTGGGCCGCCTGAAATGCCTGCAATGGTTGAGGTCATACTGGTTCTAATGTATTCTATTGGTATGATTATATGGACTGAGACCGAATTAGATGCCCTTGACAGGCGAGTGGGTACACTACTGACTGCATTCCGAATGCACCACCCACGTTCATCGGTTATAAGATTGTATATTCCGCGAAAGTTTGGGGGTCGCGGACTATTAAATATCAAGACCCAACACAATCGTGAGATATACAATCTCAGAGAATATTATCTACATACTGATGTGGGAGTGCATCGCAATTTAGTTGTAGCACCCTGCTCGCTCTGGCTAAAAAGAAAATTTGCGCAAACCTGTAGTACTTTCGACTAATGATCGCAGGGAAGTATGGAAGAGCTAAGAGCTGGGTTTTATCAGGCTCTAAACGGGTCCGATATAGACTTAAAAGCATCTACGACTTGCCTACGGTATAATGATCTCTTCGGCGAAACTGAAGGTTTTATTTGTGTCGATTATGGACGATCATGATGAATAACCATCGGAAATATATCCTAAAAGATGGTAAGGTTGACATCTGTCGGGCATGCCACTGTCCTGGGGAATCAATCAGGCATATTATTTCTGGTTGTTCTCCTGTCGCTAACGCTGAATATTTGCACAGGTAAAGCTTATATTTTTAAATGTATTTTTTCCTTTTGTAATATATTTGAAAATGTAATCAATATGTATATATAATGTAATAAAGAGAATAATAATAATACCTGTTTATCTGCTTCTATCTCTTCTTGAGATTTCTGTATGTCAGTGTCATGTGCATATTTGCAGTTGTGACCAAAACGACAACGACCCTTCCTGTAGTTCCAGCATATCCGTTTGCCATTTATCATCTGTGTGTTGTCTTTACCTGGAACCTTACAGTCATTGCCTATGTACTTGACGATTGTATGGACAACTCAATACTAAACATTTTTACGCATGTTTTGGCATTAACCCTTGGGCCATATTTGACATAGACATGTAAAAGTTCAAACTTAAATATTATACTTTTTACTTTTTTTACCCTCTGGAAGTACTTATTGAACTATGGAACATTTTTTAATAATATACGTTAACTTTGACTCTTAATTATTGATAGAGTATTAAGGGGATACAGATAATTCAAAGTTTTATTGACAGACAGACACTATATCTGCAAGACATTATTGATATGATAACATTTTATTTATAAAAGCTTGATGGGTGTGAAAGCTCTTTGCAGCTTGGTTTAAAGAGATGATGAGTGTCTTTATGTTGATTATATTTTAATCATCATCTTGTGTCTTAAATAGAGCCTCTAGTAAGATCTAGTGCACGCTTGCTTCTAATATAATCATCACAGTCGTGGAAGAACCTCCATTGTGGTCAGCTATCAAATTTTAGATATCTGTAGATACTAGATAATGGATTTCTTAAAATAAATCATGATTCATATAGTTTGGAGCTGCCTGGTGCCTTCAGAGGGTTTATGGATTAAGCAATTATATAATCGATGTGACAGATTAAGAATGTGGAATATTACCACCTCTATTAATCCGATGTTTCCTAAGAGCTAACTACACAGGACAACAGCACTGCAAAGAGAAGGAAAACTTGACACAAACTCTATACCAACCCATCTGGCCAGCATGGTATAGTAGGCCAAAATCTCAATTCTAAGGAGATGTTATGTCCAGCAGTGGACTATTAAAGGCTGTTGATGTGATGTGGAGTGTTTATAAAGTTTTGGTAAATACTGATGTGTTATAAAGAATCTAAAGACATTATCGTCTTCCTACACTCTTTCTAGTTATAGTTCCAAGACGCTATGAGTGGTAGTATTTAAAAATAAAACCTAATATAGGTCATAAGCGACAGTAAAATTTCAGATATCAATCAGTAATAGAAAGTCAACATCTACCATTTTGACATGTTTTTCAAGTATAGCGGCCTTTGCCAACTCGGCTTCGACGAAAGGGTTGGAGAACACCGAAGTTTGTAAGCTGCTCTCCCCGATTGTGGGTTTCGGGAGTTTTGGTTTCGAATTTTCCGCTTGTGATCTGTAAATTAATGACAATAATGTTGTAGACGAATCCAAACAAAAATAGTATATCGAGATCATTTCAGAGTATGTAATTGTAATCACTTTTCATTTTCAGTATAGTCTTCATCAGAGTCATTGGAGGATGAACCGTAATCTAAGAGAGCATTCATATTTATCACACAAGCAATGATTACAATAATATAATATATTATCGCTGGTCTTAATACACAAATAAATTAAATAACCATGCTCGATAAAGTGTACAGAACAGAACACTAGGTTTGGACAAAAAACTATCGATAAACGATATGGAACACGTTGAAATTTGATAAAAAAGAATCGATTGGTTGCTTTGTTACGTCATGTCATCATCATCTGCCTTATCCCAATTTTATTTGTCCCAATTATATTTATGTCTATTCTACTCTGTCATTTGTTATTTCACTGTTCACTCGCTTTGTACCCATATCCTTTTTCACACAGTCCATCCACCTTTACTTTAGTCTTCCTCCCCTCTTGTATCCTTCAACTCCCATATCCAACACTTTCCTCGCTATATTTCCGTTTTTCTTTCGCATGACATGTCCATACCAAAAAAACATTACTTCTTATCTTTTCATCCAGTGGCGCTACTTTCAGACTCTCTCGTATATATTCAGTCCTGACCTTGTCCGTCCAACTCACACCACACATATATCTCAGTATTCGAATTCCGGCTACGTTCAGGCGTCTCTCATCCATTCTCTTAATGGGCCAACTTTCAAAACCATACAGGACGGCAGGTGTGATGATCGTTCCTTATATTTGTCCCTTTAATGTAAACGACAACTTGGAAGCGCAAATGGTTCCTATTATCTGCCACCACTTTATTCATCCTCTATTGATTCGATACTGTACAGACCTGTCTATTTCGTATCATTTTGTAATCCGAGGTATTTAAAATCTCATCCATGTAAATGGTTTCAGGGCTGTGGAGACTGCCGAAACATGTACTCAGTTTTAGATCTGCTGATCATCAAGCCAACATTCTTCACCCTTTTTTGTCACTTTTCCAGTCTGCTGTGGACTTCACCCCCGTTTTCACCGATCACCACAAGGTCTACAAAAAGCTTGCAGAGAGGGACCGCCAGGAGGAGGCTCAAATACAGGAGTACGAGGCATGCCTTTTAAGTTTTATCGTTTGAAGAAAAAAACACAACTAGAACCTTATAGTACTTTTATTGTTTTTCAAAATATTCACCACGTAGCTTAATACACTTTTCCATTCGCTGAAACCAGTTATTATAACATTTATTCCACTCTAAAGCCATTTTGAACACCCCCAGTGTTCAAAATGGCTGACTTGAAAGCGTCGACTGCTTCTTCATCGGACTGGAACCTTTGACCACGAAGACTTTTCTTAATTTTAGGCAATGTAAAGAAATCGTTAGGGCTTAGGTACATACAGTCCTGCTGTATGTAGAGGTACATACAGCAGGACTGTATGTACCTAAGCCCTAACGATTTCTTTACAAGTGGTCAAGAATTTCTACTTTTCCCTGCTTCAAATACTCAGTCATTTGACGAGCGCTGTGTGAGCTTGCGTTGTCGTGGTGCAGGATGATGCGTCGCTTTGAGTTAGATTTTCAAAGTTCGGTGATGACTTGTGGTAAACAACTGTGGTATGCCACTCTGCGTTAACAATTCTACGATCTTCAAGTTCAATAGTCACAAAATGACCGGTTTTTCCAACGAACGTGGCCACCATCTTCTTTAAAGTGCTCCGAGAACGAACAACGTAAGTCGGCTTTGGCTCGTCTTGAAAGACCCAGATTGTAAATAGTTGTTTGGAATCAGGATCGTAGGCATAAATACAAGATTCATCACCACTGATAATGTCGTAGACGTGATTTGACTCTCCTCGGTTGAACCTTTGCAGAGTTTTCTTACACCATCTGACGCGGGCCGCCTTGAGATCGTCGGAAAGCAGATGCGGTATCCAACGGCAAACTGGCTTTCTCACACCAAGCGCTTCATTCAAGATCTTCTGAATGGTTGTCCCTGAGATGCCTAATAGAACCTTTATCTCTCGATACGTCACATGACGATCTTTGAGAATTAGTTGTCTCACAGCAATGATGTTATCTTCAGCGGATTTTGGGTGTCCTTCGCAAGATTTGTCACTAACACTAGTATGTCCACGCTGGAATTCTAAATACCAGCGTTCGACAGTCCACAGACATGGGGCTTCATCACTGAACACAGATGTAAGCTCTTCAAAACACTGAAGCCGTGTCAGGCCTCTTCTAAAGTGATAGAAAATTATTGAACGAACATTTTCCTTAGAAAGATTCATTTTCGTACGTAACCTGACAGATTCCAATCGACGCTGTGACTAAACAATGGCATTAATCCTAATACTTTCAACTGTTTTGAGATTCAAAATTTAAACACATTCGAATATAGAACAGTTCCAAATTCAAAATTGCCGGGAAATATGGAAACGACAGAACTTAAAAGGCATGCCTAGTATTTGACCTCCTTCATTCTCTCACTCCCCTTTTCATTTTTCCACGCTTTAAAGGCAATCTTCTTTGCTTTGATAGCTTTTCTGTACTCCATCACTTCAACAATAGTTCCCTCATTATCTCTCATATATAATTTTCCATCTCACTTCAACATCCGACCACAGGCTTATCTGGCCTTGCATTAATTTCAACAATATTCATAATTGTGCTCTCACATACTACTTTTACTAATATTATTCTATCGTTTATTCTTTTTACATCCGTCACACACTCATTCAGGACACTATCCACTACTACTCCTACTCGATTTCGTACCCTTGCTCTTTCAGCCATAGTGCCAATATGCCAACTTGCATACATCAACCTAAGCTCTCGGACTTGCTTCTTACGTTGCACCCGCCTCGGATGAGCGGGTGGTGCAACAACCCTTGTCCATTTATCGCGAAGCCGAGTGTTGCTACAATGTGGCACCTGGGGTATGCCCCAATCTTGTCGCACTCACTACGTCATACTCATACTGCAGACATGTTTTAGCTAATTAATTTTGTGGCCGGCCATCTGCCTGATATCAACCCTCCTTTGGGTATGTTGCCGTCTATAGTTTAGGAAATGGAATTGAAGGAAACATTGGGGTGGGAGGATTGGATTAGAGAGGAAAATTAGGGTGGGGGGGACCACAGTACTACTATGGGAGACATTGCTAAGACTGCGATATGTACCACCAATTTAAAACTGATGATATTTTCAAAAATACCCTATTGGCAGTTGACATAAAATTCATAATTTCAATTAATTTTTATGCACATAAATATCAATGCAACTAATTATGCACCTTTGCAATTTATTTTGTATACACGATTTCATGTGGAATTATAGAAATGTCTGTGACTTGCAAATTACGATTTCTTTTATTAACATTAAAGTTCGTCAAAATATATAATTTGAAATTATTTCTTAAAAGCTATCGATTTTAATTGCAACAATCGATTTTGTATTTTTCGATATTTAACTTCCACATCCCCATACACCACCAAACTTGATGATGAAAGTGAATTCTACCATAACTACTATATTGTAGTCTTTGGTGTGTACTACACAGAGCGACCAACATCGACGATAATGTCAGTTCCACACACTTCAATGAGATCAATGAATGCAAAAGAAAGAGATAGTATATTCTCTCATATCTCTTTACACCAACGGTGTGTACTAACCTGTCTGAACAAACCAGAACAAACAAGCGTTTTATACCATTTTAACATTGATATCGACTAAAGAAATCGGGCAAATTAATATTTGCATAATGAATATGTTTATTTCTGGTAATGTTATTTAAATATTGTAATAACTATTTAATTTCTAATCAAAGATAAGTGTTAAATATTTACGGTTTATTCTTTTGAAAAACAATCTTAGGGTCTGAACCCTCACCAGGGACTTCCTGTCTAGGGTATACCTGGTTCCCCGGCTATTAGTACCCGAGACGGCGTTTTTTTTAGTCGGTTCGAGTCCGAAATGGCACCGATGGAGGTATCCGAGGGGATTTCCGCACGAAAAAAAAAAGGGTCTGAACCCTATTTTTATTTCTATTAACTATTTCACTTTAGACTTTTAACTACCAGAAATTTTCAAGGGAAATATACCTATATTGAAAATTTTCAACACAACCTGCGTTGGGAATATTTGTTAGGCACAATTTTCAATTTGCCAGCATTTTAATATTTCAATTTCATTTGAAAGCGAACAATGACTAAGAAGGAAGGTTTGATAGTAAAATTATTAAGAATAACAATAGCAATCATGATTCAACATGTACTTTGATTGTGAGATTACCGGGCCCAAATTTTTTATTTGTTAATCTGAAAGTTAAGGTAAGGTTAGGTTATGGTTAGGCTAATCCGTAGTCAAACTATTGTAGTTATCAAGTCATTTGATATAATATACAAACACATAAGTTGTGAAAGTTAAAAAAAAGAATACTTTGGTTTTTACATTTTTGTTTAATTTTCTTTCTATCAAATTAAATCAAAATAAAAAGAGAAAAGTAGTTTGTCCTGAGTTCCAGACTAAACATTATTACCAAGGTAAAAGGAAACATAATTTACTTTCGGATCCAATGTTATAAAATTGAATGAAATGGAGACACGTGTCATGAAATAACCAATGCACGGTTAAAACATTTTTGAATGAATTGGTAGCTTTTAGTAGTTTTTTAAGTATTGTTACATGGGACCCCTATAATTTCTTTTTTCTTTAATTTTGAGTACGTGCGAGCGAGATAGAGAGTCTTGCTAGTTTGCCGTGTAGTGACGGCGGCATCAATTTCTGAATTAATTACCATTTGTCGCAAAAACTGCGCGTCCTTTATCTTTTCTAAACTAAAATCTTAAATTTTATTACAGGTTGTGTTTATTAGTGTTCTAAATGGCATCGGATGATGAAGTAGACGGTTCTTTTGCAGGTAAACGTTTAATTTAACTAGCATGTCATAGGTAAGCCGCGAATAGCGGTATCATGTGTTTACTTGCGGTATAGGCAATTAAAAATTTAGAAAAATTTTGGTTCCGTACATTTATTTTGACCTCTTAATACATTAAATCATAGTGCACTGTTAACGGTAGAGTAAATTTTGAAAGTGATATGTTTGTATTTGTTATTTGGTGGTTGTAAATATTTTTAAGTGGAGTTCGTGACAGAAAAGAACATGCGATATCCCCTCATTACTACTTAACAAAATGGACGCCGCCAAACAAAGGGATTAGTGACCTTAGTGCAAGGAGTGTGGCCGTGTGGCAAAATGCACTATCTTAAACAGTTTCCTAGATCGACGGCAAGTGCGTGGTGAGAAGGACAGGTTTGACCAGTTTATTGTGAACTTGCAGGTGACGAGGACGTTGAGGAAGGTGAGGGTCAGAATGAGAATTCTGGAGAGAGTGATGAGGCCCCACCAAAGGTAAGTGTGGAAACTATTATTCATTCATCTTTTGAGTTTTATGCTTATAGTGCTATGCATTTGTAAACAACATATATTGCTATTTGTATTATTGTTAAATTCTTCAATGTTCAACTAAGTTGCATTACAGGAAGATGAAGACTACTCACCTGAAGATGGTAGAAAGAAAAAGAAAGGCAAAAAGAGGAAAGCTCGAGGAGAAGAGAAAAAAGGTAGAAAGAAAAAGAAGAAGCGAAAGAATGAGAGTGAAGAGGTTAGTTTAATTATAATCTTGTCTATGATATTACATTGCCAAGTTGCGGGCCGCCTGTAGTGTCTAGGGTTTTCCTCCTAATCCTCATGTATAGGTATTTGTTTTACTTTGTCTGTTATTCATATTATAACATATTTAATATTTATTTGATATCCGTAAAGAGTGCCAACTATAAGCATACAAAAGAATCAAAATATGTTATTAAAACTAAATCTAGCCCAAGAATGAAAGTTTAGATAGCATTTTGTGCTATTACTTTTTATCATGTTGGTTATTATACCTTGATCAGAATTGTTCTGAATGTTGTGTTACTGTGATTTTTTTAATACCCAGAGACTAATCACTATTTTATCTAACCAGATAATTAAATCATCTATAGCAGTTACATAACTTATTGTAAAGACTCATTTTTATATCTATATTAGTATTTCCCCATGGTTTCCCTGCATTTTTTATTGGTGCCTTACTCCTAATGATTAAACCATGATGTTATAAAGCATATAAATCTATCCAACTCAAGAAGAATAATTTTAAAATCTCAATGGTAGTTTTAGTAATCAAACACTTTACCGTTTAAAGTGTTTTAATAAAATTCAATCTTAATCACATAATAATTAATTATTGTTAGTGCTCTAACACTTAGAACTAGCAGCATAGACTATAGCAAATACTAGACTACAAATATACACAAGAAAATAATGATAATGTTTTAATTAGGATGAAGAATTTGGTCTTGAAGTCCAGGGTGAGGCAGAAGGTGATAGTGACTATGCACTTAGTGCCATGTCCTCCACAAAGAAGTCACGAAAAGGTAGAGGAAGCAAGCACAACACACCTTCCACCCCAATAGCATCTGATTCTGGCTCTGGTAAGTTTTTAATGGCTTTTACTCATGCATTTTTTTTTCAAAACAAAAACTCCCAGTTATAAATTTATTGCGGTTTATGGCACAAAGTATGTCTTTGATTCTTTAACTTTCAAAAAAGTCTTGTACTGTTACTGTGGTACTGTGGACCAAATGTTAACAAAATTATATTTATGCAAAATTATATAGTAATTTGTACTACTAAAAATGTGTACACAATTTAATTTTAGCTAGTAAATTTCATGATTTATTTAGTAAAGAATACTATTCAATTATTTTTTTACTGAAATTTAGGTATGTTTAATCTTTTCAAGTGTTTCTATAACTAACCAATCAACAATGGCCTTTGGCAAACAGCCACATACAGTACACAGATCAATTTCTATTGATTGAAATACAATTTTACATTTTGAAAAACTTTTGACTTCAAGAATATCACAGAAAAAAACCTAACAAATAAATGATGATCTTAAGAAAACACAAGAGGTTATAGGGAAGAAATTTATTTAGAAATATTGTTGAAAATTAGTCTTTTATTAATTCAAACACATTGGCGAACCAGTTTATAAGAAAATAATTAAAATCTCTTGAACCATTCTTGAAGGGCACCAACCCTTAACATGGTTTAATGAGTGTCTAGGTAGGTTACCTTATCATTCGTACGGAAGTTATTTTGACCAGACGACATATAGTTGCACTAAAGAAGTAAGTTTTATTCTTTCGTGGTTATTTTCTTTCCGATTCGCATCTTTGTTGGACAATCTGACATGTCTTATTGTAGATAGTATATAATATAAAATGTCGAGTTCCATTAAAAAACGTAAACATTCACGTGTACATCATGTACACGTGAATGTTAACGAAATCACGGCGGGTGAAGCTAGGCTCGCATTATGTATAGCGAACATGCACATACGAAGTTCTACGACTTTATCCATGTATCGATATTGAGATTATAAACTTACGTTAATTCGATTATGGTGGCGCGGTTCCACGTGGGAGTATTGGGATTCTTGGTCTCAAGCAACGAACAGAATTTCGTAGTCATATAAAAGATGTAGAAGTCATGAAAAGCAACGGAGTGCTCGGAAAAGTGAAGCAGTAATCGCCTCGGTGCAATGACGAGAATTTCGGATTCTGGGCGATCATAAATTTAAAAGCGATATCAGACATCTCATATTTTACAACAGAGGACAGAGTGTGGCTTGAAAGGGGCTATGAAACTAATTGGGGTTTAGCATGCATGCAATACTTTGTACAAACCGCCTAAGACATGATGTACATGACGTTTAGGCATAGGCATAGACGGTTATGTGTGTTTAGGCATCAGGGATTCAAAATTTTGTTCAAACTTCAATGCCTTCATATATCATAAAAACTGTAAAATACTATTAATTTATGTTTGCGCTTTTTGAAATTATTTTATTTTTAACGCGTTTCTTGCAAAATTCAATAGGATTACTTATACATATTAGTAATTTTGATGAGAGAGTTATAACTGTTGGGTAAAAGAATGAGTATGTTCTAAAGTACGAAAGTATTGTAATTTTAAAACAGATTCATATTATTAATAACGCCGACAAAATATTCATTACTTTAAAATATTTTCACACAGGTCTATTGAATATTTCAATGACTAGTGTTTATATGGAACAAATCCATTGTACATATTAGGACATAATTCCTATTGTTATTCAAGCATCAATTGGCGCTATTATGTGCACTCACGAACTTAAATGAGGTTTTATTCGGTCTTTGTTTAACCATTATGTTATAAGTAACCAGTTACATTTCTTGAAATCTCATGGAATAACTTGTATTATATGCTTCGCGTTACGGTTGATATCTATAGAAAATTCTGTATCTGTAGACAATCAAGGGGGATAAAGGTTTTCTGACATTTAACATGCTCTTCTCTTTAGATATCCATAAAAATATCTAAAATTACATAAAACTGGCTGTATCCTACCACGCTTTGCGGTGGCAATGAGAAAAATAAACAAAAATAATATTTGAAGCGGGTTGTACATCCTGTCAAAATTTGAGCTCAATCGGTGCATAACTTTTTGAGTACTTGATGCGTACACAAACCAACTTAACAATATATATATATATATAAATTAGGGAATTTGTAGCGACTTTGTAAACCATTACTGACGAATCGGTGTAGAGGATCTATTTATATTCGAGATACACACTTGAGCTAACAATATCAATAATTTAAATAGCAAATTCTACGGACGATAAAGGCGGAATTATTTTAATCAAAAAAGTTGTCTAGTGCAATGACCTTTATGTTAAATAGATATTTTTGCTATCTATATATATCATCCAATACGGATGATCAATAAATTGAATTTGGCTTCACCATCTATTAAGGTAATCAATTTTTTATTTATAAAATCAAGACTGTTTAAAGCTGTTTTTTTCCTGACTCAAAGGGGAACCCGAATTCTTCTCCTTTTAATCTTATCACGATGTAAAGAAAAAAATCTCACTTCGAAAACGTGCGTCCTTATAACGAACATATTTAGGCTCTATGGAAAATGAGAAAGCTTCTTTCATCCATCAATTACATCATACCATTAACTTATGTTCACAAATAATAAATCGAAATAAATTGAACCATGACGTAAGAGCGGGATACGCAAGGGATGTTCGTAACTAAAGCTTTTTAAATACCTACTGGTTTGCGATAAAAGAATTTGAGGAAATGCACGAAGATACACTTTGTTTGGCTACGTGGTACCTGAGGTTATCAATTTTGAATTTATAACTTATTGATAATTTTTGAAGTACTTGCTCGTGGGCCGGCGGACACGTGCTACGTGGTTGTTGTGTCATATCGTGATCTCATTTCTCTGTATCTCCCCGCAATAGTAACGTAATAAATACTGATAAATTTACGCTCTATGGGAGTTCTTATATTTCGATCATCCATGTCGTGTGATCCCAATTTAGACATTTTACTTTTATAAATCCATCGCTATAAAAGTTATGACTACGACAAAAAAATAATGTACCTTACACCGAAATTGGGCGTTTAATTATTTGCAGAAGGTAATTTCTCTTTGTTTCTTAAGCAGGTATGCCAACAGTAGAAGAAGTATGCTCATCGTTCGGCCTAAGTGACGTAGATATACAATACACTGACGCTGATTTAGAGAATTTGACTTCATACAAGCTCTTCCAACAACATGTTAGACCATTACTCGTTAAGGAGAACCCTAAGGTAAGAAATAATTAAGTATGTAAGATTACTGCTCCCGATCTGCATCTACATGAACCCAGCAGATTTTTAAATAACATAAGAAAATAAATTATGTAAGAAAAGACTTTTAAGTGATCAGTTTATATGGTAACTAGTTAGAATATATTATAGGCTTTTCTTGCATATAATGTAAAGATTTTTTTATTTGTTTTGTTTAAAATAAAGTTTAGTTGATCCCTTACTATAAGATGATTTTTTGCTTTCTATTTGAATTTTTTGTTTTCCTTAATGTTTGTTAGTTTGTTTTCATAAAATTTATGTTACTAACGTTAAGTGTAACTCCTTAAAACTATTCCAAATGGCTCTATCTTGTGCCAGTCTGGGCCATAAGTTGCCCACAGTTTGCATAACGTCGTCACGTTTCGTCATGTCGTAATGTAAAGATTAAATACATATTATATATTAGATAGACACTACCAACATGTTGGAATTTTTATTAAACATCATAAACTGATAGGGAAAATAATTTATTCTTTTGTTCTAACTAGTCTGGCAAAAGTTGGTTCAGTTAGATTTAATAAATTATGTGAAATTAAAGAAAAATTCCTTAATGTTGTAGTGTTGTGTTGCAATGTCGCTCCCGGTTCATTGCGTGACACGCAGCCATATTGCCTCTAAAATATGCTCAATATTTGGATGGAGTTCTTGACCTTGAAAATATTATTGATTTACAGAACAGTGGCACAATTTTACTTCAACTCAATGAGGGCTTTTAACATGAGTTCAAATTGTAGTACATACGTATACAGTCACTATAAATAAAAATTAAACAAAGTCGTCACTTAAATGTTAGATATAAATTAAAATTTATTTTCTGTACGATACTTTTTTGGTTAACCGGTTAAAAGAAGTTGCCGAATAACTCTAAAATAATTACTACATATAAAGTAAATTTATCTGATTGAAGACGAAAATGATTGTTAACTGTATTTCTTTCTGTATGAAGATAGTAAAAAGTGACGCATATTCATGATTATTCCAGAATTAATTATTTGTCGCACAGCTACTGCATCACACTTTATTTTCCTCTTATAAAATATGCTTCTCGTGGAAGTTGCTAAGTATCATCGATGATGAGAATGAAAATTGAAACAAATCACAATCACATCTTTTTATAATTTAGAGTTAATACAAGGGAATTTATTTATTATTATTATTAATAATAATCATCATTTATGATGATTTTTACATTGTTTAGACAACAAAATTACATAAGCACAGTAAATTATTCAAAAATGAATCCTACATTATTCTTTTACTGACACAGTGAGTACGTTAAACGAAGTTTATACTTAAGATTAAAAATGATATTTAGGTTACTAATTACACGAGTACACAATCTTGTATTTGACAACATGACAAGCTTAAAAAAATGATTTTACCTACATTTAAAGTTTTACAACATATGTCTACTATTCTTCCAAGTATAAGACATACTTGCAAGTATTAAATAGTAATGCTTTACAATGAAACAAAGTTAAATCGCTTTTTAATTAGATAATTCCAGTTCTCTGGCAAAAGCACTACGAGAATTGATTAAATAATACGTGCTTTATTACTTAATTAATAATACGTGCATAAATTTTAATTACCCGAATTTGCAAAATCCCCAGAATATGTAAATATTTATTGTTTAAATTTTTACCAGGTTCCAGTGTCTAAATTAATGATGTTAGTTGCGGCGAAGTGGCGCTTGTTCTGCGAGTCGAATCCCAATCTTAGCAGCGGTACCCAAAATATGGGATCTGAAGAAAACACTAACACATCAACGACGTCTGACTATACGCCTAAAGCTCGGCCAGGACGCACACCTAAAGACGCCAAGGTGAGAACTCATTTCGCAGATTCTTTAATCAAAATACTGTATTATTATGATGTAGTATCTAGGTAAAAATAAGCATATAATTAATGGGAGTATCAACACTATTTTACTATCTTAACAAGCAAAGATTTTTCTTTATATTATTATATGACTGTTTAAATCCAGTCAGCTTTAAGTAGTAGGTTAAGTTGCCCTCTGTCAAGAGCACTGAGGATCAGTAAGTATAATCATATGTATAAATAACAAACTCTGTAATATAGAACGAGGAAGCGATCGAGGAAGCAGAAGAAGAAGAAGACGAGGAAGCCAGTGACGAGGGCGCTACTGCACCCCGTAAACGTGGGCGGAAGCCCAAACATGCCAGCGGCACCTCCACGCCACGCGGCAAGCCTGGCCGTAAACCCAAAGTGCCAACACTCAAAATCAAGTTCAGCAAGAGAAAGAGGACTAGTAGTGTAAGTCCATAACATATTTTTAGAAACTATTGAGAATAGAATATTTTATTTTGCAAATATGGGTAATACATGATAGCTGTTACAGTTCATTGAAGCTCAACCATATTTTGCCAGTGGCTTGCAAAATTTTTTTTTGTATTAGGCTAAGAAAAATGCTTTTAGATTCAGTCCTCAATAAAATTAATTTTAAGTCTTAATATTAGATAATAAAAAGATACAATACAAAATCCACAATAGACATCAAGATATATCATAGTACTTAAATAAAAAAAAAAACCGATAAAAATTCTGTTACACTGTAGTAAGTTTTATCTACTAGAAATTTACGTAGTCTACTCTCAAACACAACTGTTCCCAAATCTTTCCACCCGCCCGACAATTTATTATGTATTAGTGGTGCCATACAATGGACACTTTTACGCATTAACGTGGTTTGACAACTTTGGTGACGTAACTTGCCGTTGTCGCGCCTGTTTCTTTGAATCACATCAGCCAGACATCAGCAGCCCACTGCCAACATCTTACCTTTTGGTAATCGTAGTATAGTCCTACAATTTTTAAGGGGTTTAAACATAGTGATGAAAATAAAAATATTATAATAACCTTTCTTTTAATATGTTGCTAGAATCGTGTTTATTGCATTAGTGACATTAAATGTGTTAAAGATATGAAAAATTAAAAATGTATATGTGTCTGTATAACAGGAAGAAGATCAAGAGGGAAGTGCAGTAAACTCGGACTCGGACGCGGAGTTTGAGCAGATGTTAGCAGAGGCGGAGGAGCCCAAGCCGCCCAGCGTGGCCGGCGCGGAAGACAGCGTGCAACCAAAAGAGGAGGACCCTGCGGTATTTTCCTTTTAAAATTCTATATTTAAATTTGTTTATATCTAAAGGAAACCATTGATTATCTAAAACGGAAAGCATGATAAAGTTATACCAATTTCAACACTTACCGTTCAGAAACAGGCTTGGCTGACATACGAATACTTCATATGGGTCAAATATTGCCTTAATGCGCTACTTAATGCCACGATAATGTCTTCACTCTCATAATATTGACTGGATCGTGAAGTCGTCAAACACTCACATTTGGCATACATTGGCAAATGTGCGTGTTTGGCGACTATTTCAATACACAGACCCACACTAATTATATGTTAGGTCATTTAACTACATGTAACGATAAAACCAGAAGTCAGAATAGACAGAAAGTTAATGTTGAGAATCGTCTCATAATTGTGTTGCACGTCCCATTGCTACGATACGGCAATAGCTAATCATCTCAATTTTAATTTTCTTTACAGTTACCGAAAAAGAAGGCAAAGACTAAGATCGGCAATAAAAGCAGAAAGAAGAAGAAATTGAAGACAACGAATAAGTTTCCTGATGGTGCTGAAGGCGAACAAGAACATCAAGACTATTGCGAGGTAATTTTGAAATCCCAACTTAGTGTTATATGCATATAGTTTTATGTTGTTAGTTTTTACGAAACGGTTTTGTTTTTTTTAGTGTAAGATATTACATATCCCGCTTCTCCTAGATATGCGGTCGTAATTATTGGACGACGTTCTCGGTTTTTCGTAATTGCGTAATTAAATTATCTTTTTTTTTTTATAAACTTCGTAAGTCATCCTTTATCTAGCATTTAGCCGCCAGGACTGCGGATATCACCTTGGTTAATGTCCAGCTTGTGAATATGATCCTCACCCGTTAGAAGTAATGTTTGCAAAGAATTGTGGCTATCGTCAAAACATCATTTTTTGTTGTTCTTATAGCAAAATAAGTCTACAAATATTAATGAGTATCGATCAGCATGCTGGTAAATTAATAGAATATATTAAATAGTGAGAATTTCTCATATAAATAAGTATTAAGTTCTGGGTAAAGTTAGCAATTATAATCTACTTATCAAGATAACAGCCTTGTTATCAAGATTAAAAACCTATAGAATTATTTAATGTCGTGGTTTGATTTATTATAAGCCTTTTAAAGTAACTTTAAAGTTTAGAAACTAATACTCGCTGGCAAATTAATTAGATATTTTTTCTGGACAAACTGCTTGTCAATAATATCATTTGATCAATATTGTATATGCTTAGTAGGTGCAGTACCTACTAAGTAGTAGTGCAGTAACTACTATTGTAACATTGGTAAGAAAAAATAGAAATTGTGACGGAATAAACGTTTAAAGAAACTATAAAAATAGTACTGTAGATTTTTAGTAAATACTTATCATATCTTGTTCAGGTTTGTCAACAAGGTGGCGAGATTATTCTATGTGACACATGTCCTCGGGCTTACCATCTCGTATGTCTGGAACCTGAACTGGAGGAGACTCCTGAGGGCCGCTGGTCGTGCCCACACTGTGAAGCCGAGGGCAACCAGGACCAGGAAGATGATGATGAGCATCAAGAGTTCTGCAGGTGAGCAAATGCTACTGTCAAACGACCCTCACCATTATTTGGCTTAAATTTTAAAATGGAGAATTACGAGTATATTTATGTTAATTCTTAATCAATAGGGACTTTGACGTTCATTAAATTAACTCAAATATAGTTAATATATTGCAAAATATAAAAATTTTGCAATTACATATACATTACGTTAATGTAATTTGTCTTTAATCCAAACAATGAAAGAGTATAATGTTCTAAATACAAGTATACATTTGTAGAATCTGTAAGGACGGCGGTGAGCTGCTGTGCTGTGACTCTTGTCCGTCGGCATACCACCGCTTCTGTCTCAACCCGCCGCTAGAAGAGGTGCCTGATGGAGAGTGGAAGTGTCCACGTTGTAGTGTAAGTACATTAAAACAGAAATATTAAAAAAAAAACGAAAAGTGTAATTTGTTATTGACGTGTGTATTCGATTCCTGTTACTGCTATAATAAATGTTGATTGTTAATTTTACAGTGTCCACCGTTAGATGGAAAAGTAGCAAAGATACTGACTTGGCGATGGAAGGAGCAACCCGCCAAGTCAAAAGCACCTCGCTCCAGAGAGTTCTTTGTCAAATGGCATGAACGTTCTTACTGGCATTGCAGTTGGATATCAGAACTACAGGTTTGTGCAAACACTCTTAAAAGTCATATGATCAGTCAGTTTTATATTATAAACATATCAACATGTTTTTGTACTCAATTGACGTCTATTGGAGAAGGTTGTTAAAAGATCAGCAAAACAGGCTGTTAGGGATGATCATGGTTAATTACTTAGAGATGCTAAGAAAACAAACTCTTTTGCAGCTGGATGTCTTCCATCCACTCATGTACCGATACTACATGCGTAAATCTGATCCTGAAGAGCCGCCAAAACTTGAGGAGCCCTTAGATGAACGTGATGGACGAGTCAAGAGGCTCAGAGATAAGCAGGAACAGGATCAGGATGAGAAGTTGCTAGAAGAAAAGTTCTATAGGTGAGTTTTGTGTTTATTCTGCTTTGACTTAATTTGATGTTTGGTCACTTGGTCATTGAATTCAAAACAGTTTAACAAAAGGTTCTAATTTGCTTCAGTAACTTGGTGACCTATTGGGGGATAACTATTTTCTTTTCTTTTCACTAAACCCTTATGTTTTAACATAAGGCTACCCTGGTACTGAATAAAAATGAAAATTTTGTTTTTATTTATATTTCTTATTTTTTATTTTAAACACCACAAGTACCCATGTTGTCTGTCATCTCATTTAATGATAAACAAGAATATTATTGATAAATTGCCAAATTAAATTGTAAAGAACTTACAAGGCAAGACTTCATCACATTTGCCTTTTCAATAAATTATTTTGATAAGTCCTCCTGACTTATCAAAATAATTTATTGTTTATTCTTTAATAAAACAAAATAAAAAATTTGACAATTTTTATACCTTCCTTTTAGGTATGGTGTAAAACCTGAATGGTTGGTGGTCCATCGTGTTATCAACCACCGCACGTCGCGCGACGGAACAACGTACTACTTAGTAAAGTGGCGCGACCTCTCTTACGACCAGGCTACGTGGGAATCGGAGCACGAGGACATTGCCGGACTGAAGAATGCTATGGATTATTATTCGGTATGTATTCTGAAGTTATTCAAATTGATTTAATATACGCTTTTCTCATCCTAGTACTTATTCCATTAACATTACCCGCGAAGTTAACTTTGAAGTCGAAGCCGGTAGTTGACTATCGGATCGTGATAATTATTTAAAAATCTGTGAAATGGTTAAAAACATAACAAATATAAGGATTGTGGGTTTTTTAAACTATCACAGTCACTCACAATCACAGTTGTGCTAAGAAAGTACTTCAATGAGTAGTAGGTAATTCGACAGTTGCTAGGTTGGTCTGTATGAAATATTACTGTTTTCAGGACATGCGCTCTTTCATCACATCGGAAGGCAAAACAAAGGGAACTAAAGGCAAAAAACCTGGGCGCAAGAGCAAGAACAAAGATGTTATTGACGAGGACGACAGTAGTGCTGGCCTTCAAATGAAACCTAAGAAATATAACCCACCACCTGATCGTCCCACAACTAATCTTAACAAGAAATATGAAGATCAACCACCGTTTGTATACGAAACTGGCATGCAATTGCATCCATATCAGTTAGAAGGTCTTAACTGGCTGCGATATTCCTGGGGACAGGGTATCGATACAATTCTCGCTGACGAGATGGGTCTCGGCAAAACTATCCAAACAGTCACATTCCTTTATTCACTATTCAAAGAGGGACATTGCAAAGGCCCATTCCTGGTGTCCGTTCCTCTGTCAACTATTATTAATTGGGAAAGAGAGTTCGAACTATGGGCACCTGACCTGTATTGCATCACCTATGTTGGGGATAAAGATTCTAGAGCTGTTATACGTGAGAATGAATTGACATTTGATGATGGCGCAAATAGAGGCGGGCGGCCTTCAAAGATCAAATCACAAGTTAAATTTAATGTACTTCTGACGTCATACGAGTTGGTTTCTATCGATGCCACCTGCCTTGGGTCTATTGAGTGGGCAGTCCTTGTGGTAGACGAGGCTCACAGGTTGAAGAGCAATCAGTCAAAGTTCTTCAGGCTCTTAGCAGGTTATCACATTAATTATAAATTGTTGCTCACTGGTACTCCACTACAAAATAATCTAGAAGAATTGTTCCACTTATTAAACTTCTTGAATAAGGACAAGTTTAATGATCTCGCTGCATTCCAAAATGAATTTGCCGATGTTTCAAAGGAAGAGCAGGTAAAGAGGCTGCATGAGATGTTGGGACCCCACATGTTGCGACGTCTAAAGGCTGATGTACTCAAGAACATGCCAACTAAATCTGAGTTTATTGTACGTGTAGAATTGTCACCAATGCAGAAGAAGTACTATAAGTACATTCTGACAAGGAATTATGAAGCTCTGAACCCTAAGAGTGGTGGTCAGACAGTATCGCTACTTAATGTCATGATGGACCTTAAGAAATGCTGTAATCACCCATATCTATTTCCTGTTGCCGCAGAAGAAGCGCCTCTCGGACCTCACGGCAATTACGATACCCAAGCTCTAATCAAAGCTTCGGGAAAATTAGTTCTAATGTCTAAAATGTTAAAACAGCTCAAAGAGCAAGGGCATAGAGTATTGATTTTCTCGCAAATGACAAAAATGTTAGACATTCTTGAGGACTTTTTAGAAGGAGAAGGTTACAAATATGAAAGAATTGATGGAGGGATCACAGGAACTATTCGACAAGAAGCCATTGACAGATTCAATGCGCCGGGTGCTCAGCAGTTCGTATTCTTATTATCGACTAGGGCTGGTGGTCTAGGTATTAATTTAGCTACAGCTGACACTGTAATTATTTACGACTCTGATTGGAATCCTCACAATGACATCCAGGCGTTCTCACGTGCTCATCGTATTGGTCAAGCTAACAAAGTGATGATTTACCGTTTTGTGACACGCAATAGTGTAGAGGAGAGAGTAACGCAGGTTGCTAAAAGAAAAATGATGTTGACACATTTGGTAGTACGTCCTGGTATGGGCGGTAAGGGTGCTAACTTTACTAAACAGGAATTGGACGATATTCTAAGGTTCGGTACTGAGGAACTATTTAAAGAAGAGGAAGGTAAAGAAGAAGCTATTCACTATGATGATCGGGCCGTAGGTGAGTTGCTAGATCGTTCAAAGGAAGGTATCGAACAAAAAGAATCTTGGGCCAATGAATACCTTAGCTCGTTCAAAGTGGCCAGTTATTCTACGAAAGAGGGTGACGGTGAAGAGGAAGTGGACACAGAGATTATCAAACAAGAGGCTGAAAATACCGACCCTGCATATTGGATCAAATTGCTGAGGCATCACTATGAACAACATCAAGAAGATCAGGCTAGGACACTCGGTAAAGGAAAGCGAGTTCGTAAGCAAGTCAATTATAACGACGGCAGCGTGGCTCAGACTGAAAACCGGGAGGATAGCACGTGGCAAGAGAACGGATCAGATTACAACTCAGACTTTTCACAAGGCAGCGAAGATGATAAGGAAGATGATGACTTCGACGAGAAGAATGACAATGGCGATCTACTCAGCCGTAGAAGTAAAAGACGTTTGGAAAGGCGCGAAGAGCGAGACAGACCGTTGCCGCCATTACTGGCACGTGTCGGTGGAAACATGGAAGTACTCGGTTTCAATGCGCGACAGAGGAAGTCGTTCCTGAACGCTATCATGCGCTACGGCATGCCGCCACAGGACGCTTTCAACTCACAATGGCTGGTGAGGGATCTTCGCGGGAAATCGGAGAGGAATTTCAAAGCATATGTGTCTCTATTCATGAGGCATTTGTGCGAACCTGGGGCTGACAACGCTGAAACTTTCGCCGATGGGGTACCTCGCGAAGGATTATCACGACAGCACGTACTAACTCGAATAGGAGTAATGAGTCTTATTAGAAAGAAGGTACAGGAATTCGAACACATAAATGGATATTATAGTATGCCAGAAATGATTCGTAAGCCTGTTGAACCTGTAAAGAGTGGTACAGGTGAGAGTGCAGCACCAAGTCCGGCTCCATCGACAGCTACTCCTATAACTTCAGCTGCACCGTCCCCGGCACCTACTTCATTAACACAGACTTCTGGCCAAGCGCCAACCCCGCAAGGTTCTGATAAAGATGATAAAGAGGAGCCGAAAGACGAGAAACAAGATATTAAAGATGTTAAAGAAAAAGAAGAGCCAATGGACACAACTGATCTCAAGGATGAACCTGTAGAGGAGAAGGAACCTGAGGTTAAAGCTGAGGAGAACAAAGATAAGGAACGTCGTATGTCAGTTGACGAGGAAACTCCTAAAGACGATGATAAGGCTAGTGAAAAGAAAGATGACAAGGAAGCCAAAGTCAAGGAAGAAAAAGAAGATGAAAAGAAGGATGATGTTAAGAGTGAAAAGGCGGAGTCAGAAGCATCCGAGAAACCCAAGGATGAAAAGAAGGTAAATATTTTTTGTAGTCTTACATTTATTTAGTTTAAACTGAATATCTACAGTATGTTCATTATTTTCATATTATCTTATGTTTAGGATGAAGAAGATGATGACGTAGTTCTCGTTAAAGAAGAAGAGGACTTGAAGGTTGAACGTCGTAAGTTCATGTTCAATATCGCAGACGGAGGTTTCACAGAACTACATACATTGTGGCTGAACGAAGAACGTGCTGCGGCTCCGGGTCGCGAGTATGAGATCTGGCATCGGAGGCACGACTACTGGCTACTTGCTGGCATCGTCACGCATGGCTATGGCCGATGGCAGGATATTCAAAATGACCTCCGTTTCGCTATAATAAACGAGCCTTTCAAAATGGATGTTGGTAAAGGAAATTTCCTTGAGATTAAAAATAAGTTCCTAGCGAGGCGTTTTAAGGTAAGATTTCCTTAACTACGTTATAGATGTCAGTGTCAGTAATGAAAATGATTTTTCATAATGTATTGTTTTTCTACAGCTTTTAGAACAAGCGTTAGTAATTGAAGAGCAACTACGTAGAGCGGCGTATTTGAATTTGACTCAGGATCCCAACCATCCCGCCATGTCACTCAACGCACGGTTTGCAGAGGTCGAGTGTTTGGCCGAGTCGCATCAGCACCTTAGTAAGGAGTCTTTAGCGGGCAACAAACCCGCTAATGCTGTTTTACATAAGGTAAACTTTCTTCTAACTAACATATTGTTTTCCTAAATAACTGTTCTATATGGTCAATTCTAAATCGCCAAGTATAGCAAACACACTTAATTCTAACTAATTACTATAACGTTCCATCTCGACGCTCGATCATCATATGATGGAGCTGGGAAGCCGCTTCCTACAGCGCCGAGTGTTGTGGGTTAAAACCCCACATGGGACAACACTTTGTGTGATCCACAAATTGTTGTTCTGAGTCTACTTTCTGTCCGTTTCATGTCTGTTTGTAAAGTCCCCCGTGACAAAGGAATTATTCCTAGTCCGGGAGTTCTCGTTTTAAAAAAAGATATTGGCTCCAGCTTCAGAGGCTACCAATAAACTCTTCGAGTTGACCAAGAGATCGGGCCCGGTAACGGCGGTCAGAAGAACTAAACCGACAAACTCTTTTTTACTTTTTAATCGGTGAAAAAAGCTTACCCAGTATCTCGTCGTCCACAGGTGCTGAACCAGCTGGAGGAGCTGCTGTCGGACATGAAGTCGGACGTGTCGCGCCTGCCCGCCACGCTGGCGCGCATCCCGCCCGTGGCGCAGCGCCTGCAGATGTCGGAGCGCTCCATCCTGTCGCGCCTCGCCGCCACGGCCGGCAACCCCGTGCCCGCAGGTACCAGCCGCGCCTGACCCGTTACCCCACTTCACTTACCGGAAGGCGAAACTCATACGTAACGAATGACTACACGCCGTCCACCTCTGCAAACTGAACGTACTTACTGACTGCCCGAATGTTACCAGTATTCACGCGACTTTGTTTGTTTTATGAGCATCTTAATTACTCTATAAATTATACCAGCTTTACCCCTGACTCCACCCGCGTGTATGTCGGTTATAGCGGTAAAAAGTTACTTCGCTAATAATGAAGCTTTCCATTGGTGAAAGAAATTTTGAAATCGGTGTAGTAATTTAGGTGTGATAGCGTAACAAACAAACACTTATATTCTTCTACACGGTGCAAGTAGAAAGAGAGGGCAAAGACGGGGGTTATTTGCGTCAGTAACATGCTCGAGTCGCTGGATCCGCATAGTCCTTTTCGCGAAGAAAATAACCTGCGCAAGTGCCTCAACATGCGCAAGCTATTTGCATCATGAAGAAGAATCATAAGTATGGATGCTTAGAATATTTCAATAATTATAAATTGTATAGTAACTAACTTAAAAATACATTTTGCATCAGTCGTCATGCGCGATAAATAGAGCTAGATAGAGGACAACCTCCTCTAATCGTTTGGTTGATTTGATACTATAATAATATAAAGACGTTGCAATGTTATTAGCGCAAATGGCGCAGTTCCCGGCCGGGTTCCAGTCAGGCGGCTCGCTCCCCGGCTTCTCCCCCGCGGCTGCGGCGGCCGCCAACTTCTCCAATTTCCGCCCGCAGTACTCCGTGCCCGGACAACCCGCCTCCAGTGGATCTTCTAATGTAAGTTATCTTTCATTTTATGCATCTGTGTAACAATGTTGTCCGAAAGGCTTTACACAAAATAATCAAAATGCAATTTAGTAGTTATTCATTATCTCCCCAGATACATTTTGAATAGTTGTCAATTATTGCTAAATGGTTTTCCAGTCTCTTTAGGCTTATTTGTAGTATTATATTTGTTTATGTTTAGTACATTTAAACTTCATGTCGAGTTATATTATAACCATATTTTTCTTTATTACAGAAATCATAAACGCCGTAATTTATACTACATAATTCAACTTGCCAATTTTTGCAGGTATTTTATTACTCTTTCCATACTTATAGAGGTTAATTGACTAAATCATCATTATTTATTTTGGAATATTTGTATTTGCATCAAGCTGTTCAATTTCGCAAAACCATTTAAGGTGCAACAATAATATGTAATTGTTTGTTCTAGTGAGCGGCTATTGGTCACATAGATGAATATTGTAGATGTAAGCTTTCCAAGATTCCTCTTCCAACTTGGGTTTGAAGTGATACTTATAGTGTATTAGTGCAGTTAGGTAACATATATACAATAATAATTCTACGTCATTTTGATGCAGAACTCACAATATTATTTATTTCATCTTGATCTGTATGAATCTTGTTTTATTTTTACTGTGTAAGTGATTGTGGACTTTGAAGAAACTTATTTTTAATTTACCAAAAATGAAAATTGAATAAATCGTAACAATAAGTGATATTTTGTATTATTTCAAAATCCTTATATAGGTATTTAGTGAATACACAAACTTGTCCTAATCGCATCGAGTACGAAAGTCATTCGAGGTGTTTTTTTATAATATAGACACAAACGAACAGACGGGTCACCCTAATAATAATAAAACAATTCTAATAGCTCAAATTTAAAGTATCGATCGGACAACGATAACCCGCTACTTGATGTCAGACTGAGAAAAAAGTTACTATGAAACTCAGAAGAAATCAAAGCACGATTGAACGGAATTTTATGAATCATGAATCGATATTATTATCTGAGATCAGTAAGAGAAAGCAGGTATTATTTTATCAGAATAATAAAAAAGAGATACTAATATAATACTAGTCAATGAAAAAGTGGTTAACAAAGTTCTTTTGATGGCTTTACCGTGTCATGATGTTTTTTCTCCTTTGGGCACTATTTTCACTATGGCTTGGACAGGTATAACAATAAATGAAATGATGGAAAGAAATAGCTACCGTAAGTTTATTTAAGATATGATTTAGGTAATAGAAGATGTCACTCCTATTTTACCGTAATAATTTTATTAGGAAATATATTTGTTGACCATAAATAATTAATGTATACTTAATTAAAATTTCTATACTACCATAGAATCAATAAGAAGTTACGTGCCTTACTAAGAATAAAAAGTGGGTGTGCTATTTATTTTGCCACAAGTGAGGATGCCCAAAGCGTTCTCCACTTGGCCGCCTTATGTATAAGCTTTTGTGTATTTAAACAACTATAAATACTTGGCGGGCCTGTTACTCTAGTGGTTAGTGATCTTGACCGCCAGAGGTCGAGCGTTCGATTCACACCCAGGGCAAATAATTGTTGCGCCAGGGACTTCCTTTCTAGGGTATACCTGGTTCCCCCGGCTATTAGTACCCGAGACGGCGTGCGGTTTTAGTCGGTTCGAGTCCGACATGCCACCGATAGGTGGTATCCGAGGGGACTTCCGCACGGAAAAAAAAAGAAAAAAAAGGGCAAATAATTGTGTGATGAGCACGATCATTTGATGTCTGGGTGTAATTTATCTAAATGTTTGTATTTAGAAATATATACTCGTATGTATGGTCAAACGGCAGTGTGTGAGATGTGTCAAGTTATTATTATTATAATTCTATCGCATTTAACGAATTTTGCAGCGTACAATGTCGCGATAAACGGATAGATCTCGAGTTCTTTGCATGGAGGAGTGGTAAATTTGTCAGTAGTTGGTATGTCTCAGTGGCTCAAAAGCTAATAGGCATAGAATATCACGTAAGTACATCATCTTAGTAATGCACTTACTTAAGTGATGACATTTTAATTCTGTTCCGTTGATAATTTTCGTTTAGGCAAAAGGAACATTTCTGCCAGACACAATCTGAGATAGGATTAGATTAGGATTTTCTATTATGAGATTATAAAAGGAAGAGTTCGTCACTGTAACTAGGTAACTCATTCCTATTTGTAGAGTTACAGTAGGTAGTTGGATAGAATTAGATTTTTCGAAAGTGAAATTCATAACCTGAGTTTTAATTTTCCGATTTACGATCAGCTAATCGGTCGTCTGTCCGCTTCCAGTTTGCCACCGACCGAAGGAGCAGCTGCCAGAGTACAGAAATGGCTCTACAAAAAACCCAGTTAGGGATGGAAGAGAACTCCTAACGGACTGTTACCTTTCTATTCGGAAAATGAGCTGATTCCACCTGATTCCTTTTCAAAAACGGCCAAAAACGATTTTTACCATTTTTTCTTGACCTTTAAACTTAGAATGTTATTTCTGACGCTATTATCTAACGAAAAAAGAATTTAAACCCAGGTTATCAATTTCCCTGATTTTCGGTCCGAAATAGGCTGATTCTATCTCACTACATTATCTAGATACTTTTCGGCTCCAAACTTCGATTGACTGACCTTAGGGACCTCACGCACAGCGTATTTTATTTGTTACTCGCAGATGATGCGCGCTAACGCGCTTTAAACGATTTTTGTATGCAGGCAATAAACCTTTGCAGATGTTCGATGCAAACGCGCTGATACGGCGATGCAGACGCGCATATTCTAATACAAAAATCTCTACGTTTTCACACCAGACTCCTGAACAGTAGTAAAATGGAGTTGGTCGACACAACACTGCGTACGCTGGCTTTATTACTGATTAAAAAACAGAAACACATAGTCTCTTATATCGCTCATCTAATAGTCTCTTATATCACTAGGCTATATATGAGACTATTTATAGACTTATTCACGAGGCGAAAGAAGATTTAAGCGGTTATTCGAATACAACTTTTAAAATATTGATCAAACACAAATAATTCCGAGAACTTCTTTTGATCCTAAAAGTCATCCAGAGTTACAAAGTCCGATACCGACGAGCTTTTTAGGCGGTTCACGCGAGTTTGTATCGCTTTGTACGCGCATTTGAACTTGTTCGACAATCTGCTTGTTGTTAATCTAGTGCTGTTATCTTCTTAAAACGCGAGTCGTCGGCGCGTTAAAGAGAGGCCATGTGCAAAGGCCCTTAGTCTATAGATGATCATATAAGTATTAAAACGTAATGGTACACTGTTGTTTTAAGGTGCCCTATGTATTTCTGCTCCTCAAATTATTTTGGCGCTTTGTATTTAAAACACAAACAGTTTACAAAAATATGATTTAATTAAAGATCACAATACGAATTGAAGATTATAATTCAAAAACAGTCCACAATAATTGAACATTCTTCACACAGCTATTCACAAATAAATAAAACAGAGCTCAAAGCTTTCCACTAATTAGTGATTTGATCACTTAAATCAATTAATCTTGACCAAAACTTTCCTCTAGATTATCTCTGTGTTTCATTTATATCACCAGGTATATGTTTCATCCTCTATATTGTACTTGACGCAGTCTATCGCCTTTATAACGTTAGGGTCAGGAGAACAGAAATGCTGCAGCATATCTTCGCTTATACCGCAGTCAGATAAGTTCTCTTTATTGAATGCTTTGGTAAAATGATTTGGTTCGTTTTCTTTTGAAGACTCATCTGTCACATAGAAAAAAAAAGTAAGTTTTTGGGTGTTGCAAGACTTAAAACACCTTCATAAAGATTTTCGTCTTAATCCATTATACAGGCACATTTTTGGTATGTATATGTCGAATAGCCACTTATACCTTGTACTGAAGGAATATATTATTGGATGATTATATTCCAAAATAATTGAAGTTTCTGGATGATGTGGAACACTACGACTTTTGGGTGGATCCATATGAAATTAATAAAATTAAAATAATCACCTTCAGCGATGTTGGAGGCAGCCCACGAGAACGCCAACGTGGGCTGGTGATGCGCGAAGGTGGCACTGAACTGAGCCGATGAGCTTTTTTTTAAGACATTGAAGAGAGTGTGTATTGTTGTGGGGAGTATTGGCCCTCGGAGCTCTATTGAGTAGTACTTATTATTATCGGAATGTATTGTGTTTTCACGGACCTAGAAAAATAAAATGAACATTAATTAGCATATCACAATTTTGCAAGAAATTGTACGTGCTGTGTTTTGCATTGCATCTCTGCATAATCCTGCAGTTGCCCTATGATGGTGTAAGGTGCTGAATACTTTGTTTTATTAACTATTTACACTGAAAGGTTTAATGTTTTTTTTCATAGCTAAAAAAGCAAATTCTATAGAAGTATAGAATTTAATAATAATATAATTTAGGGAACCTAGTAACTATTTAATTTCAAATCTACAATTTTTTCCAGAACATACATAAAACTTCATGATGTTTTTATAGACTACCTATCGAAATAATAAATTGGTCCATAATATTGGTTACTATATTTGTGTTGAATATTTAATTAATTTGTAATTTTTTCACAATGTACCTTTTTATTACATAACTACAGGATTTGTTTGGATGATGATATTATAAATTAAGGTATCGGTTAAATGTATGTATATGTTAACATACCTTCAAGCTCTGTAACGTCCCTCCGTGAAACGCGACTGGCGACAACAAAGTGGGTGGTACTCCAGCGAAAGGTCCAGTGGGACTGATGATGGACTTGCAGTTGAGAAGGAAGTTGAACAGCGCTTGTGCATCCGCACCACGAACGAACACCATTGACTCGGCTGCACTGTCCACGCTGCTTTCGGCACTGTGAGCTATCCGCGCCTGTGGAATTAGAACATGTTATTGCAATCTCAGTAGGTCGTTACCATCCTTTAGCAGACCACTGCTGGACATAGGCCTCTCCTTAGAAAGGAGGTTTTGGCCTACTATACCACGCTGGTCAGACGGTTTAGTATAGGGTTGGTTACAAGTTTTCCTTATCTTTACAGTGCTATTGTCATATGTACGAGGGAGCGTTTTTATGTTCGCGGAATAGGGGAAAAGGGGTGGAAATAAAAAAACCAAATTATTTTTCCTTTTCAATATATTCACCTGTAAGACGGATACATTTTTCAGATCTTTCAATTAATTTGTTTATACCCTCATAAAAAAATGTTTTCTCTTTGTCTTCAAAATACGCCGAAACTGCCTCCTTGACTTCATCATCGTCGGTAAATTTTTTACCCCGTAGCTTTTTTTTCATTTTTGGAAACAGGTAATAATCGCTGGGGGCCAGGTCTGGGCTGTAGGGTGGGTGATTCAAAATATCGAAGCCCACCTTATGCAGGGCAGCCAACGCAACGCGGCTCTTGTGGACGGGCGCGTTATTCCTTCTGAGTCCCAAAAGACCGTTGCCATGAGTTTCCCAGCTGACGATGACACCTTAAACTCCTTGCGAGGTGCTGTGCCCTTTTTATGCCACTGCATGGAGTCTTGTTTCGACTCAGGTTCATAATGATGAACCCAAGTTTCGTCTCCAGTAACAATTCTACTCCATACAGCATCCTTGTCTTCATTACAAAGGTCTAAAAATGCACGTGAACACTCTACGCGCTGTTGTTTTTGCGTCGGCGTGAGCATTCTCGGCACCCATCTTGCACTGACCTTTGTCATGCCAAAATGATCGTGCAGAATTCTAAAAATGGTTGTATCAGATACTCCAACCATTTCTGCGAGTTTTTCTTCTTTAGTCGAGAATCGTCGAGTACAATTTTTTCGACTTTTTGGATAAGTTATGGCGTGATCACCTCGATGCTCCTGCCCGGCCTCGGGTCGTCTTCAATGGATTATCTTCCTTGTTTAAATAAACTGTGCCATTTGTACACATGGTTTTTCCTGGACAAGAGTCGCCGTAAACCAATGACATCTCATTCATTATGGTCGCAACTGATTTTCCTTGCTTGGTAAGGAACTTTATAACGGCACGATATTCGATTTTTTCCATGTTTCACTTTTCACTCCCGATTATGTTGCTTGGTTGACGATAACTCAAAGACTAATTGTCTAATAACAATGAAACCTGGTATTTATACTAATTATGAGTCACTGAACACGTGACGATTCTAATGAGCCTAATCACCCCTTCCAACCCTCTCATTCCGCGAACTTAAAAACGCACCCTCGTAGTTTGGTCCCTTAGTCGGCTCTTACCGCTCTTAGCGGTAGTGAAATAATATATTCTTAATCCGTCACCACACGGACAATATAAAACTTAGTAGGTAATCAAACTAACTATTAAGGGTTTAAAGTGAGAAATATTCTTGATAGTGGCACACAACTTTTTGTTGTATGTCGGAATCGACTAAAATCACAGTGTTTCGCTACAAATATGATGATAACAAGGGTCCTCTGTATTAAATATTCTAGATGCAAACAAAGGCAAGTTTAATTGTTAATGGTGGTAGTTCAGGTGAATTCACTTCCATGAGATACGAGAAATTTACTTTTCACTTGAAAAAGTTTTGTTTCAAATGTAAGATGTCATAATATATGTTTAAAAAAAAGTGTATTGTTTAGTTAGATGAATATACAGATAAAATAATTCTCACTAGTTTCCAGTAATAGTGTGTATTTAACAGTAATATTACAATGTTTTCAAAGACACTCACTTGCGTAATATTAATTTTCTTAATAACTTCAGTCTCAAACCCCATCTCTGACAAAAATTGATCAGGGTCTTCGTCATCCTCTTCTTCTTTCTTCTCAAAATTAGTATCTGATGAGCCCTTGTCATCCATAGTGTCATAGCAGCTATCAAACGATGAGTTCTTTACACGCTCGTCGTCGGAAGTGTTAAGACGTTTTTTGCTTTCTGGTCGGAGGGGCATTGTATATTCAACATCTAAAATAAAAAGGATGATTAAGAATACAGTGCTAAACTAATAGATAATAAGTACATGAAAGGCTATAATAATACTGGGATTAGGAAGGAATAATGATACTGGAATTAGGAAGGAATAATGATACTGGGATTAGGAAGGAATAATGATACTGGAATTATTTGTAGAGTACGAACAAACATGAAAAGTATCTACCATGTGAGACTAATTAATAGATTTTATTAAATATGAAAATGGTATGAATAAACTTATATCTAATAATAATAATCATTTCTACAAATAAAAAAAGACTAACGTCAGAATAATGAGAAATCAATGGTTTCAAATTCTGTAACACTAGCTTTTGAGAACTGCGTAAGTAATTTATAGGCTACTATGTACCAATACACACATCACATACACTATACATACATACACATCTTTTATCTCAGAATGAGTAGACAGAGGCGTATTAATCCCCCAATTTTGTTGACAATATTTTTAGTCCCACTCATGTGGAGGACTTATGTACTAGACCAACAGACACGTCAACATATACATCCTGCTTTCAAAATGTTAAACAAGTAACTTCTATCTAAATGAGCACTGTAGCTATACCTTCTTGTCTGAGAGCCTGTCGAAACCCTCTAGTAGTGGGCGCGATCAAGGCGCAGGGTTCCGACACTCCACACAGGCCGCCCGCTCGGAACAGACATGTGAATGTGTTCGCGCATACGTAAAAGTACGGACAGTGACGCGCTCGTAATAACTGTTAAAAAGAGATTTCAAATAATTAATACAGGTACAGTCCAGTATAGTCCAGTTACAGAGAAGACCTACCTACTTACCTTACAGTAAAAACCAGAAGACACAGAAGATTGAGCCTTGTTATAGTATATAGTTCTTTAGTAGTATTCTCAAAACTTTTCTATTAAACATTTAGTGGTGAGGAACAGTTATTAGACAGACAAAAAACTGATACCAACAAAATTTAGACTCAAAAAAACTTCATAAAAAAAATTCTAACCTGAAAAAGTGATCTAAAACTCTCCGTCCATTCATTGTGCAGGGCATTCTTAACATCTTCATTGGCAGCCAGGAAGCTGGTAGCTGCTACTTTCCCAGATGATCTTGGGTACAATTCCAGCCAGGGTAAATGAGGATGTTGCCAATACAAACATGTTTGATGGAACAAGGCACGTGGGGAGGTGTCCAGTGTTGGTGATGCAGTTGTCTCAAGACAGCGGACAAACCTAAAGATTATTTTGTTAAATGTACTAACTTGTTTCATTGTAATTCTGTGTAGTTCTTTGAAACTAAAAATATAAAAAAAGAATTACCCAGTAATACCGGAAGCTTCTTCACTCGCTTTTAACTTAGATGTCCATGCAAATGGTTTCTGTGACATCAATCTAACTTTGGTTTTCAAAGCCCAGTCAATGGGTAAATAATTGTACTTCTTTTCTGGAATCTACAAAAAAATATACTTGCACATAACATGTTGAACTATTGCTTTCTTAAAAACAGATATAGTAGCAAGCAGGAAAGATACGTAATAAATCAAATATTTATTTGTCTATCCATACTAATATTATAAATGTGAAAGAGTGTCTGTCTGTTACCTCTGCATGATTAAACCGCTAAACCGATTTAAGTGGAATTTGGTCTAGCAATAGTTTGAGTCCCGGGAAAGGACATAGGATAGGAGTTTTTATCCCAGAAACCACCCTTTAAGGGGGTGAAACGGGAGGTGGAAGTTTGTATGGGAAATCAATAATCGCTTAACCGATTTTAATGAAATTTGGTATGGAGAGACTTTAATTCTTGAGGAAAGACAGGCACTTTTTATCACGATAACTGACATAAATACGGACGGAGCCGCGGGCAAAAGCTAGTATATAATAAAAATATTATGAATCTGAAGAGTTTGTCTTTTCGGTTTAGCGCGTTAATCAGGCTTCAGGTATTATTAAAAGCTGTTGATGATGAAAAAAATAATACTCATTCTATACTTACTGGTTCCACTGAATGCTCTGCAGTGAACTTCTGCAATAAATTTGAGAATGTTGACAGTTTCTCTGTCTCAACATCCTGTGAAGGTTTTGGAACAACTTTTGCAGGTAAATTCAGTAAGGCATACAAAGTTTTGTCGTTGGACTCATCCAATTGGTCATCATATTGTTCTACCTTGGGCTTCTTTTGTAGTTGGAAGTTTCTAAAAAAGAAATAATTAATACTGGTAATTAGAAATCCTTCCCTGACAGGATATGAATTAGGAAACTTCATTTTTTTTTCAAGAATTCCTTAGACTGTTAAATGTACCAATGCATCAATATTACTAATCTCTATTATACAAGTACATTGGACTAAATATTCTATAAAAAGAGACATACCCCTCACAAGGGTCTCGGGTACTAAAATTGACAATTACTGAATAGGGTTGTGATTATTCCATATTAGGTTTTAATTAAATTTCATGATATATCTATAGAAATTTACTTGTTGACTCTAGATGGACCATCCAATCACTTGTTGATAGTTAAGAAATTAGAGGCGAATTACAAATAGGAAATTATACACATTCTTTTTTCTTTCACCTGTAGGCAAAAATTACAAAGTATTATTATATTTTTAAGATTGTATATGAGTTAAGTTGGTCAAGAGTGATTCAAGAGGCGGATTTATATGTTTAATACATGCATATTATAGTAGAAGAAATCCGAGAATTTTCCGAGAAACAATGATTTGTATTGTAAAGTCGTAAAAAACATGTTTTAGCGCGCTTACACTGCAAACGCTGGCTAAAAATTTACGAGATAGATCACAATAATGTACTAGGGAACTGTATATCTTGAAAACATCTACAAAAAAAGTCCACAATGGTATATATCTATCTCCTCAGGATAACCCACAGTAACTATTTTTATCTTTTACATATCATAAAAAATAACACAAACACATCCTACACAATCCTTACAGGAAACCCAATGCGATTGTGAGGCTACAACTAATATTAAACTAATTTAACACATAATTACATAACTTTAAAATAACAGAAATAGAACTAAAAATGAAAAGAAAGCAAAAAATCATACGGGAAGTAAAAAATTTTAATATTAAAAGTTATATGATACTACATTTATTATAAATCTCAAGAGCTCACTCGAGTTACACGAGAATATATCAATTCTAGTGCTAATTTCGTTGATTACACGGATTGCGCGAGTAAGTGGCATTTTTGCCAGTAAGTTGGTTCTGGCCGCAGGAACGACTAGCAGTGGTGGATGTCGCCTCCTCTACACATAGCGGTCCGGCACACCGAGGCTCAGGCGCTCCAGCACTGTCTTGTTACACACTTGACTCCTCAAGATTTTAGCTACATACATAGCAAGTGAGAACTCCCGACGCACTCTTAGTTCATCTTAGTAGATATACCGCACGGCGGACCTACGTCCTTTCCGGGTGGCAGCGGCCAGTAGGAGCAGAGCAGGCCTATTAATATTGCCTATTAAGATGTACTGTAGTATAGTCTTATCATAATATTAGTATAATTAATTACTCCACACTGACACCACATTAGTAGTACTTAGGTATTAGTAGTATCTACCTGTGCAAAGCCGGTGCGGATTGCTAGTAAAGTGATGCAAAACTTTTTTATTTCAAGTTATGTCTCATTCTTAATATTACTTCAAGGAACTTCACACTGTTATAAGCTCCTAACATCACTCAAATGGTTTCAGTTTGATCATATGCAGTGCAGTGTACTTGTATAACAGAGGTCAGTGATCGATGTAGACCCAGCACTGAATAAAAAGTGTATTCCTGTATATCGGCCACACAGTGCACAGAGTTGATAGAAACTTAAGAAAATGATTGTGGTTCAGAACACCGAAGGTGAAAGATCACACTGTCATGCACCAACAAGATGACCCAAACAACTAAAAGACCTAACATCCCCAAATTCCTTCACAGTAGGGTAGATTCTTAGGTTTAAAATATATTTTTTTCACCTGCATAATTAAATGTAGCATCTTAAAGTAAAGCCTGAATTGTCCTCCATTATGAATTTAATCTTTTTATTGATTTGATATCTTATTCAACAATAAATATAAAAGATTTGCCAATAGCTGGGTATATCATAAAATAGTTTTTCATAGAAAAATGTACTGCATCTGTATTATTTTGAAAAAAAATAGATACTAATTTGACTTCACAGCTACTCTGTTGTATAAGCCTCACTGGACAGGAGCCACAGACAGATCATCTGCTCCACATGCAATCCTGATGCTGACCATAATCCTCGAGTATGAGGGACAGACCTTTGTGTTAGAGATTTGTGGCAAATGTGCTGGCTGGCAAGTGGTGTTAATTTTATCAATATATGGGCCAATAGGGAGAAACTTATTTTTAAAATTATATCTTAATAATTAAAGTAACTTACTTTGAAAATGGGTTCTTTCTCTTATCAGCATTTAAAATTTTTGAAATATCTAAGTCTATTGAAGTTTGACTGGACGACCCTTCAGAGTTTGTCGATAGTGGTTGTTTCATGCGTTCCTAAAAGAAAAATACTATGTTATCATCAACAGATTTAAGGCCTTTTTGTATAGATTTAAAGGTTACTAGTGATTAAATGTTGAAGAACTAAATCAATTCATACGGTTTATAAAATTAAGTGGACTTGCCTGTAACGCCTTTTTTCGTTTCTTCAACTTGTGAAGCCGCATTACTTCATTAGGTGTCTTCCATGGCGATGGGGGCTCCATTGTGCAGTTAATTAAAGAATTTGATTTGACTTTCCTTACACTTACTTTATTATTGTCATTAAAGAATATATCGTTTGATTTATAACATGTATCATCTGTCTCTTACAACATCAGACAACAGCATGTTATGTTCCCTGTGTTACTGTTAGGTGTGTTTATTGACACAAGTTAACACAACAATAATAATATCAACACGCGAGTACAAACATCAAGCTCTGACAGTGCTGCCAACAGGTAAATTAACTCTGCACCAGATTTAACATATAAATCCACCAGAAAACCACTAACGAAAAAGGGCCCTACTCTAAATTCTCAAAATGTTCAAATAAATGTTTTATTAGTTATTACGAAAGAAAACAATAAGAAAATTAATGGTTAATTTCCTTTTTTATTATGTAATACTAATATGCAATGAATCAAGAAACAAATAATATCAACAAGTCAAAATCAGAAACTTAAAAATTATTCAAAAATAATATAATAATAATAACAGTTACTTATTTTAATATTTTTTGTCTTCTTCATATGAATCGTTTTTGTATTGTACCATCATCTTCGGTTTCAGATTAATAATAATAATATTTTCGGACATCTGACACAACGCCGTCTAGTTTGAAACTAAGTAGAGTTTGTATTATGAAAGATGCATTTGCTGATAGAACACTTAAATACTCTTTTTTGTAAATACATAGATACAGATTGATACGATTCTTTGGTACCGACTTGTTTTACAACGTTTATAGAACTTTCATATTCGTTGCAGCATTTTACTTCCAACCTCAAACCACAGCGTATTTTTAACTTCATTCTATTCCTCTGCTTGTTATTTTATTACATTCTTATTTTTTAATAGTCTCTCAACTTCTGCATTGGCTTTATTCCTCAAATCTCAAATTCCCTTGAGCATCCTTGAAGTGCAATACTTCCAGTATGTGGAAGTTATCTAACAAGATGGGCAACAATGGAATGAGTTTCGAACAACTATTAGTTTGAATGATATCAATCTTCATTTCTCTTCTGCTACTCAAGTGAATCATCAAACCAAGAGTCATACCCTGAACTATATCGCTAGTCTACCCAGGCCCCAGATCCAATATTGTCTACTTTGAATTTTCTTCTGTGTTTTCTGGGACACCAAAAAGATATCTGTTGGTTCTAATATATTGGGTTGTGATCACTTTAGCCGTAGGATGATAGTTACTATCCATTCTAAGATATAACTTATTCGAGAGAGATAACCCACATTATTGGCTTCTTTCCCGACTCCAGAACCTTCCCCTCTCTCTGGTACAAAGACTACGTCATTCCATGCCTTAAATTAGGAATCCTTCTCTTCCTGAGCACTTCCTTCAATCGTCATCCAATCTCCATCGTTCCTTTCTTGTCAAAGGTTCTTGAGGTTTGAGTACACAAACAGTTCTCGCAGTTCATCTTTAAACATCACCTCTGAAGTACTCTGTAATTTTACTATTACTACCATACCACTAGAAAAATCCACTAGCCACTAAAAGCAATTAGGGTCAAAACCGCCAGTTTTAGTGGATAATCTACTAGGCTGACAACACTGAACTCTGTTCTCGGTGTTCCTATTCGAAAAAATAAAGGTAAACATTTTACTTTGAAAATCTACTCCACCTACATTTTTGACTTACGCTTGTTTAACCCTTAAAATTGGCAAGATATGATATTTGGTAACAGCATTGTTTTAAAGTATTTTCTTGGTTTATTATATAGTAGGAAAAATACTTTACGGTACCACTGGGTACAGCGTCAACCGTCACTGTGTACAATTTGTAAGAAACGTTGCCAATTTGTAAGATAACATAATTTCATTAGAAAAAAAATTCTCTTACGACAAACACAGCACAACACATGGACAGGTCAATATATATAAAAGAATATTATCAAAGCGAATACTATTCGTAGGTCTATTACCGTCAATTTCGAGTATACTTGTTTCTCTTGCAGTAATATCCTACCAGATCAAGGTAAACCTTAGTAAATATCATACCGAAAATCTTTTAGTGATAGTTTAGCTTTATTTTCTCTCTTGTATAGCAACCATGCATTATTTATATTGCGTCTTGTAAGAGGTGTGATAGGTGAAAGTATAGCAACTGATGGTGAAGGCAATGATTGTACAGAGTTCAATGTAGGAATGGCATCATAGTCGTTTGTTGCAAAAAAAAACACTGAGTTAAGGTAATGAGTACTAGGGTACCCGTTACCTAAAATCATTAAATTTCGTTTGACTTGGAACCACGGAGTACATATACAAATTCTATTACCATAACGTTTTCAATTTGAATTAAAAGATATCAAATTTTATTATAATCAATTGTTTGGTATTTACACTCTCGATATACAACGCAAATAAAAGTTAACGAAAGTTTATAGGAAATACAATAAAAATTTACCCGAGCCGGAGCAACATGTCGTCGCCTCGATATTATTTTGACTTTTACTTACGAACTTTTACGACTTTTACGAATTAATTTCAGGATTGACAGCTCAATGTATTTATTTTACAGACTTTTAAGATATCTTAAATCATTCTATTCTAAATTTTAAAATTACTTTCACTGTCAAAAATAAGTAGTATATTTTTTTTATAACTAACGTATCCTGGGACACAATGAATCGATTTAAGGGTTCGTACGTTTGAATAATTTCTAGCTTGACTTTTAAAAACTGAAAAAGTTTAAAAACTGTCTGTATTCCATTTGACTGAAAACGAACTTTTACGTTGTCTTATAACTAGTTAGAGTGGTTTGTTTTTTATTTCATAGACATTGATAAATATATTTAGAGATATCATGAATTCATAAACATAAAAGTGATTGCTACTAAAATAATCACCTATTGAGATATAACTCAATAGGATTAATTATTAATTATATAATTTGTTCAGAAAAGTTACTGTAAGCATTTTTTAACTAGTTTTATTGAATTTATACTTGTGTGTATGTAGTTAAAATCCTAATTGCATTATTCAAAATGGAACTAATTAAATAATATGTATTAAATATTATAACATGATTATTATTGTAATCATATATTTTAACATGATATATATATCTATCAACATATATCTCAAAAGCAATGATACTTTAAGATTCCTCTTGTTTGTATATAATATCATTGCTCAAAAGGAATAAATTTTCCCCGTTTTCGCAACATTTTTCATTGATCGGCTTACAATAATATTATAGGTCATAAAATAATTTTAATTTTTTTTTTCAAATCAAACCAGTAGTCCCTGAGATTACCCGAACATCCAAAACCCCAAACTTTACCTGTTTATAATATTAGTATATATTTACTGTTTTGACTTATGGTTCCGAGAAACCTGCGTATCTCGTAAGCCTCGACTTTTTGTACTTCCTGCGGTTGACTGGTGTATAAATCTATGTATTAGATTACTCATGGGTCTTCCATGTCTTAATTGTTTTAGAGCATGTTTTGGAATGCCGTGTGATATCGGTCCATTTTGTTTTGGTTATCGGCTAAAAAACCACTGAATTCATTAGCTGGTGAACGTAATGTAATTTTGATTGATGTGTGTTTGGATTTTCTTTGCAATGCTTTGCTTCGATTTGGTCTCAAAATGTTATACAAATAATTGCATTTGATGCAGATTGATAGACAGAATTGATGCAGATCTGTTGATGTCTTACTTTTAAGTCAAGATTGACCTCTAAACCTGTTTGTTACAGTTTGGCGCTGCATTCCGTAAATTCCACAACCTACATAAATTTGATAGATTGATATGTTATCCATTGTGGTATTTCTATTACCATTATTGTACACCATGTCAAGGATAACAATATTAGGTAAAACCAACAACATAGTTTTTATTATAGACATAGCAATATGTAACACACACAATCTGTGTGGTGACGGATTAAGAATACGGAGTGTCACCACCCCAATTCATGCCGTGGGTGTCGTAAGAACCGACTAAGGGACCAAACTACGCAGGACAACAGCACTGCAAAGAGAAGGAAAAACTTGACACAAACCCTATACCAACCCGTCTGGCCCGCGTGGTATAGTAGGCCAAAACCTCCTTTGTAAGGAGAGGCCTATTCCCAGCAGTGGACTATTAAAGGCTGTTGATGATGAACACAGACAATCTCCTCACGACGCACACTGAAAAGATGTCAAAATACATAGACATACTGCTGCTACTGAAATAAAAAGGCAATGGCAGGTACATAGAGTTAAAATTGCACCCATTGTCATATCTACAACTGGTGTAGTCCCTCAGACTCTTCAAGATCACGATCACCCTCTTCTGGCGCACTTGACTAAGGCCCATGTGTTAGATTTTGTTACTCCTTTTAAGTAAAAGGGATGCCAAAAAAGGTTTGAAAGATAAATAATAATAATTCTACCACATTCCCACAACGCCATCTAGTCCCAAACTAAGCAGAACTTGTACTATTGGTACTAGACAACTGATAAATATATATAATACATATTTACATTGTTTTGTTAATACAAACATAATATACATAGGAATACCCAGACCAAATTAAACATTAAATGTTCATGCACACAAATGTTTGACTTGACCGGGAATCGAACCCGCGACCTTTGGCTCAGCATTCTGTTACACAAACCAATGCGCCATACGGCAGCCTTGACGCTGCCTAATATGAAATTGTTTTATTGTTTATACACAACTCTATAATAAAATTATATGCGCAATAATAATATTTTACCTTTACTTTGAATGGTTTAAGCAATTCCAGCAAGCAGTTTTGGTGTTAAGATAGGATTTTATGAAACATCTTATTTAAGAGCTCTCACGAAAACGTGTATGAAGATGGCGAATGCGTTAACCTTGTGTACCCATGTTATAATGTAAGCGCAGCGCGTAAAGGTTTGGGTGACACGTTCTCGTGCGCCGGCCGGTTCGCTGCACGTCGCGGCAGCGGCAGTCACATGCTGGACGGCCCGAACTTCACATCGTGATTATTGGCATTAAAATGGCCTACCTCGACATAGACGCGATAGAGTGAATAAAAAAATGAAAAGTAGCGCGAAAATGTTTTTCGTCTTCGATCCGAAAAATGAAAATCGAAACTTAAAGATTGATTGAGCAATCAATTAAAAGAATAATTAAAAATGAAGCTAATATCTCTTGCTCGTGACAGTTTTGACTATATAAAAAGGCGTATTAATTTGGTAAGTAACAAAATATATTATTATAATCCAAAGTTATTAATTTTAAAATGCACACGTAACTCAAAAGTAAGGTTTGGATTTACCAATTCTAAGAACATGATGATCTCAACAACATGGTCAAATAGTAATAAATAGCTAAATGAATTATACCCTACTGCCTTTGTAAATGCTTTGTTTAAATACACGTATTGTAAAGACGCAATGTACTGGCTATGACAATAATTGGACGGAATATTTGAAATACAAGGTTCCCGGACTACCAGTTGGATACAGGGAAGGTTGGATGTTTTGAACATCAGGAGTAAAAAGAAGTGAAGCGTGACTAATAACTTAAACCAAAAGTGTTTAAAATTCGTTTAATCCGTTTCCAATGGTAATTTTATTTAAATGTTTTTATGAACACTATGTTTCTGATTTTTTTATGATAGATATAGGGACAAATGAGATAGTTCAAATAATATAGATGTATTAATAATAATATTTATTTATTGAGCTATGTTATAACTAGTTAAATACAAAATAAATAAATTAGACCAAATAAAATCTAAAACTCAAATCAATAATAATTTCAATTATTTTAAAACGTAAACAAAATTAAATTTATACCAAAATCAATCATAGAAATAAAGTGCTAAAATTAAATAAAAATAAAAAATAACATGAAATCAAAGTCACATTTCTTTATTTATTATGAAATTAACATAAATATAAGTAGGTACTATACATTTTAAATACCTTATTTGAGCTCATAGCGTTTAATTACTCGTACTATAGCCGAAAATATACTTAACACATTTTTACGACTTGGCACATGTATTTCCTGAAGTAGGTAGTAAAAAACTACCATTGAAAGTACCCCGAACGCTAAAAATGAATTAGAGAATGTATTCTACATATATTTTACATTAATTTTATCGTTTATTGTGTATAGCTTTTTTTAATGTCCGAACGTAAAACGAAACTAAATAGCAAACAAAAATCGATCTTAAGCACGATCCTGTTAACATATTAGTCCACAAAGTAGGTAAATGATAAATTATATTTATTTCTGTAAGTAAATCTTTTCAGATATTTTTACAAGTCGGACTTTACAGCTAATAGAGCCGGCATTTCCTAATACTCATTTTGGGAAGAAACACCGAAATAAACCACAGAGGCGTCTTTTTCTTTAGTCCGTAAACAAAGTTATGTGTTTAAACTGTTCAGTATAGGGTCTGGGTAGGCCTTTTGAAGAAAGGCGCATAGTTTTGAGTCGGCCTGTCCGTACAGACGGCATACGGGCCAAAGAGGATAGAGACAATCAATTTGCTGTGTTAACGTTAACGTTAAGTGTAAGAGAAACACCATTCTAGTACTCATCATCATCAACAGCCTTTACTAGTCCACTGCTGGATATGGGCCTCTCCTCAGAAAGGAGGTTTTGGCCTTCTATACCACGCTGGCCAGACTGTAATAACATCTCATACACGGTCGTCTGATCCCAAACTAGGCAGAGCCTGTACTATGGTAACCAGACTGCTGATAAACATACTTATATATTTTTAAATACATACGTATTATAGATAAATTACACCCAGACACAGGACAAATGAACAATCATCACACAATATTTGTTCTGGGTGGGAATCGAACCCGACCTAATCCTCCTCCTCCTCATCGACTTCCGGCTTAGCAGTCAGGGCCACTAACCACTAGATCAACAGGCCCGCAGACGGGTTGGTATAGGGTTTGTTTCAAATTGCCTTCTCTTTGCAGTGCTGTTGTCCTGCGTAGTATACTCCCTTAGTCTACTCTTACGACATCTACGGGACGAATAGGGGTGGTGACACCCCGTATTCTTAATCCGTCACCAGACGGATAGCACTCATTAGAAACTTAACTAGGACCTCTCAAAGATGAATAGCACAACACATAATTGCTCAGATTAGCCAGGCTAATCACCAGAACCTTTAAGAATCAGAATCAGAATTGCTGTTCATCGTAGTAGTAAGATTACTGGAGTTCCATTCACGAAAGGCACGCGTAAGTGACGGTGTGTTGCGTACTTATTTGCCACTTAAGTCATAACAAAAAAAAAATGTTAAGTTTTTATCATCTATTCTCGAGTTTTTTAAATAATATATATTTAATAAATGGCGCCGCAAAAAGCTTTTTGAAACTTAAACAACTAGAGATTTCTTTACTTCACGGCTTCTGTAGAAACGCTCCGAAATCTTTGATTAGTTCATGTTAAATATCATAAGTTCCTTGCACTAAAAAGGGTATTCATTTAAGTATTTGTCAAACCTACACAAAATAGACTTGAAAAACCCTGTAAAAATAATTCACGAGATTAAGTACTAGTTTGAAACCTTGTGATTGTGTTCACATAGAGCACTTCACTTCGATATAGAGATTTTTCTTGGTTTAAATGTGGGTAAAAGCTCAATAGAGGCGGTTTGTTTCATTTTTAAAATAGAAAAAAAAACTAATTATTCCATCTTAGAAACCCTATAAGTACACGTAGATTTCTACGTTTGATTTATTCTCTACCAACGTTTGTCCTGTCTTGTCTACTGTTAGATCGTGTATTTCATGAATACAGTAGATGTTTCTACTAACTCTGACAATATTTTTGTTAGATTTCATGACAATCGGTTAAGCAGTAAGGCGCAAAGGCGCAAATAAATAAACTTATATTCGAGTTTATTATATTGGTACAGAAGTAATGACACACTGTATTCCGTGTAATTATAGTCATACTAACGTTCAAAACATCCAAGAATTCGCGACGAAAGCGTGTAAAACAAATAAAAGTTTTCTGGGTCATCCAGTAAAGTACTAACTCTAGCAGTTTGTTAGCTTCGCGTGGTAACTCGCAGCGGAACACTAAAATAAACTATTTAAATTCAAATATCTTTCCTCTAAGTTATACATAGTTGTACGCAATGTAACAAGTTTGAAATTGTATTCGAAAGCATTATATTAAACAGCTTTGAAGGGTGAATATAAACAGTAACAAGAAGGAAATGTTTAAAATGTAACAGGTAACAATTAATGTAACTATACCCAGACTCGTCGAACAGTAAAACATAAATGCTGAAGTCTTACTTATGTATGCAAATTATCGCAAAAACTTGACAATGCGTAAAATGCCTAGGGAATTACATTGTATGTATTAGCTTTTAATATGAGTAGTAGGCCTCTTAGTGAAGATGTTTGCTGTCTGAGCTGTCCACAAACTTCGTATCCTATCAAGATGTCTATTTTAGGACGTAGGCAAGCCAGGTTGTATTTACACCAGCAAAAGACAGGTAGTTAATTCGAAATGCTATTTTAGCATATTTGCGATGGCCAGTAGAGTTGCTGCAGCTCTACTCCGTCTTGTAGGATTGGCAACGTGTGTCATCATGTTCGTTTGGATTAAAATTGCCAATGCTGACGCGTTAGATATAATAGGATAGAGAAAGGAGGAGGAATTAGGTGTTGGGTTTTGTTAAGTAGGTAAATATTTTTTAGTTTTGTAGTCAACTAAGGAGTTAAGACTCTATAGTATTTATTATTATACGAGTAAGTAAATAAAAAATGTAGGTGCCTACCCTAGACACTGACGCGTATTCCACAATTCTAGTCCTTGCATTATTGTGTGCAATTCAGTAAGTTAAAGTCTGGCTGTGTATTTCCTTTCATACTAGATTTTCAATTAATTTAAATTAAACTCAGAAACCTTTAAAAATATGTAATTCATTAAACTTTATCTAAAAGTTAAATAAACCCATATTGGAGTCCTGATATAGCTGATCCATCATCTATTATAGTGAAAAGTAGACAAACTTGTCAATGTCTACGAAAATGACACGATGACGTAGTTGTGTATGTCTATATGTACTTTGTGTATAGTTTTGTTTGCAGTAAGGCGTTGACTATAGGTTAATGTGCTGTGTTATGTATGATATGATTAATTATGTATGTAATTAGGCACAAAATAGAGGCATTTTGAAACGAAATGAATTTGTTCAGATATTTGGTAAGATGTGACCTCCTTTAAAAGTGTTCAAAATGTAGCTTACATTCCATGTCGCTTTATAAAATGTTCGAAATTTCAAAAAAGGGCCGAGACTCGTATTACTACATTATGTATACGTTTACGTTTTGGATAGTATGTAGCGACTGGTTCAGTAGGGCTGACTCACCAGTAACATACGTTAAGATCACATATAATACAATATTGTTTCTGATTTGCTAAAGAGTCGAGATTTAAAATGCTGCTTAACCATCTGCCTACCTTTATCCCACTTTAATTTAGGGTCCGCGCAGTAAGTATGATTCTTCCATTTTAGTATATAATTTGTTATTTCACTGTCCTAGCCATATCCTCACTCACACAGTCTATCCACCTTTTCTTTGGTCTTCCTTCTTTCTGGTACCCCTCAACTACCATACCCATAAAGCAACACCGGCCACCGGCAGTACAGTGTTGCTCTGTGCTCATACGTAAAAAATTTTTTCGCCACATTTTCCTCATCCCTGCGCATGACATGACATGTCATTTCTGCAGTATGAGAATTGCTGCTTGACCGTAGAATGAATATCTAGCCAACGTTTAGGCTGAATATACGAATATTATTATATTTGAATTTCTGATCTTGGATGTCTAACGTAATGTCTAGTTGATTCCCTAAAAAGTAGAGATTGTTAAAACTGGGCAAAGAACTTCTGGTTTTAAAAGTTTATCACGCTCAAAAGCTTCGTTGTCAGTTCTATAAAAAATCGTTTTAATAATAATAATGTAACTTATAAATACAACACCACTTAGACAAACTTTGTGAGGCTTTGAATTTAATATCTAATTAGTAACTCAACAAAGCATTTAAAAGGGTAGAAAATAAGTAATAAGTAAAACGATCAAGTTATTAAGTATTGATAGTATAATTAGTAGTTTTAAAATTATTAAAATAGCGAGTTACAAGCAAGTCTTGATTTATCCATGACAATTTAGTTTGTTCACTAACCACGCACATTTAGTTGGTGAACGTCATTACTCATGTTAGACATTTATTTATTTACGTGGGCTTAATGATGACTTCATTTTTCGTTTGAAACTATTGATGACTGTCGAGGGAAAATAGAACATTTATTTAAATCACTCAGTACGACTTGTTATCGCCGTAAAACATATTTTTATTAAAACCTATTGTTAATAACTACAAAAATAGATAAAGCTTATGAAAGATTGACGACGCACATCTTTTAGCATCCTTTTATTTATATGACACTTATAAATATAGAAGCTGTTGAAATATTCTTGGCCACGGCTATCGAGGTATAAGGCCAGGGTGCTTAAGACCAAGGTCTCAAATACCTTTTACAATCACACACTGTTCGACACCTACTTTAGTTACAGTTCCTAAAATGTGGTTAATTCGATTGATTAGAGCAGATAATCTTCTAATAGTAAGGTTTCATCGATAACAAGATAATTAGGAATCTACACCTAACTAACTGGTTACCTAACTACAGCTCCACATCACCTAACTATTGCTTAAATATGGATCTTATCATAAAAACCTGTTGTTTTTATTTATTCATTGCCCATCGAGTAACAAAACTCATAGTGTTGGTAACAATTTGATGTTTAACTATGTCAGTAAATAAAAAATAAAAAACACAACGAACACAATAAGATGAACCGATACCTAACATGGTACATAGGTAGGTATTATGCTGCAAGTCCAGCAGAAAGTCTACATCACCGGTTCACGATGCCGCAATCCATTCGAACAGAGATCATTTTTAGAATGCTGTTGGTGCTGCTCCACACTCTGCGTACCAGGGACGCGCATCTGTTATGCATTACTATATAAAAGCAATCCATGCGGGCTTCTGCAAACATGTTTTATGCAACCTTTGAAAATATTACTACCGTGAGTCACCAAACAAATGATACACTATCTAATCTTCTGAAAATTTTGTACTGCGAGGTGTTCCTTCAGTATATCATTTAAATCTCAATGCACCATCTTTAATTATTGGTAATACTTGTAAATATTATTATTATTGATTAATGTGTGTAAGTACACCACCAGTGACAATGCCACCTGTATTGGACTTGATTGTGTGTTTACAATGTCACTATTTATTTTAACTATTTTGCGGAGGGAATCTTCTGTATCCGTTCTTATATGCCTTGATTTCCTTAAGTAGTTAGTAGGGTTAATAAAAACATTTCTTTCATTTATAAGAAATGTATGATTATAATGTGTAAATAGGTATAAAATTAAACAATTTTTATTTAAACATTTATTCCGGCTAGTAAAAGTTTTGTTGTATATCGCGTTAGTTATGAAAATATCTGGTACATGGAGATTATTGATTATTAAATGTTTAAACGACGATATGGCACAGTGCGTTAGCCACTTGATTCTCAAGAAATCAAATAGCAGAAGTCCAGAACTGCCAATAATTGGATGCTACGATACTAAAGTAAATGAAACAATTCTGAATTGACTTAATTTTGTTGTATTAATGAATAATAATAATAATAATAGGTGCTATTCTTGTAGATATACTTTCAGGAGAGAATAAAATTTATCGATTCAAACCACTCCCTCGCAGGATAAGGTCGTTCTATTCTTAGCAAGGCCATTACCAGATAATTATAAATCTAGTTAAAATAACTTTAGAACGTGGAACAATTTGTTATTTGGAAATTTTCAATGAAAATTAACTTTTAATAGGTCTTTATATTATAGGTAGTTAAAACTACACACTATTAATTGTGAAGAATAAACTTTACATTCCGTTTTGGAGCTCCCTAGGTTTGTCATAAAAAATATCAAAATACTCGTAATAAAACCTTTATTGAAATTGCGCAACCTCTTTAAAAGGGGCTGTGATGTGAGTTAATGTACTTTACATTAATTCGTGTGATAAAATAAAATTAAAAATGCTGGATATAATTTCAAGAATTAAATTCCGTTTTATTAAACACGATATTCGTAGACACATTAATGATGATCGTCTACGTTCCATCTCTTCGATTCGTAGTCCGAACTAACCCAGTTCTTTGATATTAGATATTATCGGAATATCGGGATAATGAAACGGTAAATAATAGTAAGTAATTACAAAAGTGTTAGCTTGTTTGTTTGTAACACATCCATGTCTACTCAACCGATCATGATAAAAAACTATGAGCGTAACAAGCGCTTGCTTTAAAAAAATCTCCTTTCTTAACCAAGAAAGTGAAAATTTGCGAAACGTCAATTATAGGCTTATATATTGCCGGTGCGTATCTGTCTATTTCAGGGTCAAAATTTAGTTGGTGTTTAATCTTTTCCACCATTTATTACCTACCCTTTACTTTACCTCATGCTTTCTCTGCATCGCCCAATCGTATGACCGATTGAAATTCCCTTAGGCATTTAGTCCACCGATGCATAAATTTATGTATGAAGTTTAATAAATAAAAAATAAAATAAACTTACTTTTTTCCTTTTTGATATCAATATCTGTCTGACATTTTTTTAGGTAAAAAAAATGCCAACTGAAATATTTGCCCATCTTCCGAGTCAGACGGCTCTAAATTATTGGTAACGAAATTTAATAGAGGCATCTAAAGCGTATTGACTTCAATTTGGGTGTTGGGGATATGCCCACCGTGTGATCGTTACGCTGCCGCCGTGCCCTGTAGATTTGATGGTTTCGCTCGTCAAAAAGTATCTAATTATCTCAATCACTGGGGATGTTTTTCTTTTGCTATATCTTCGGCAACGCCTTTGAAATATCATGATAGGAAAAATGGTACGAATTTGATAACCAAAAGATATTTATCTTCTTACGCTAATTTTAGAAGTTACATAGTGTTTCTGCAAAGCCTCTATCGCGATTACATTGAAATTATTTAGCAAGACATTTCGGTGTACTTACTACATCAAGGTAAACTTAAATCCCTAGCGAAAGGATGATTGATAGACATCATTGAAGAGGGATTAATGCACTCAGGAGGAAAAACCCCTCGTTTGTATAGGTGTAGATACCCCCTCTATGCTTGCCAGTGTCGAGACGGTAAAGGGAAAGTGAACGAAAACGGGTTAATAACATTGTATCTATATAAACATTGCTAGTATGTATGTTTGTTTTCGCGAACATCAAATGCTTTGCGAAAATGCTGCTCTATCTCAGTTAATCTGTTAGTTGATCAATGTATTTATCAGCCTATCAGAAACGGGGTATTATTATATAATGGTCGGTTTATATACTAAGAGATATAAAAACTAACAATAGAACACAAAGCCGTACAAACCGTTTTTAATAATGAATATGTAACATCTCCGTAGTATTCAGTTTAAGCGTTGAACATCTATTAATTAATGCGGGTCCACACTCTCGGCTTCACACTGTCATCGGCTCCATTCGCTCGTTCAATGGAGGTAGGCACAACACGGCTGTCAAAGGCGTGTGTATAGAAAGCTGTACGCACAGGCGTTGAATAGAGTCTGAAGTGGCTATACGTCAGTTTACATTTTCCGACGCACGACGCCGAAGGAAAGCTTATGCATTGCACAAATGCTCAATGCAGTCTTGAAATGTGTCATAGGGTTATGCATAAATGGCTGACATAATAAAAAAAGGTTTTCGCTATAAAACCTGTTACAAAATCTATGCTATAGCAGTCACTAATACACGTGAACTTGTAAAAATATCTGAAAAGATTTACTTGCAGAAATAAAAATCATTTCATCATTTCATTTCACGCTTAAATAATGTATAAAACTTACACTTAAAAAAAAACCTTTGTGAGCAGTAGAGTTAAACTGTAGAGGCTTTATAATATGTAGACATTGAGGATTAACAAACGTTATACCTGCTTTTACTTACAAATAATTATTTTTCTTTTGTTTTAATTCATTTACATAAATAAACATTTCATTAAATATAGACAAACCTTAAACCACTAGGGTTTATGATATTTCAATGTTTATATTAATTTTGTACAAAGGATTCCGTTAGAAATTAATATCTCAAGTGCATATGGAAAGCTTCGTCATATCTTCGAGTTGAGTCGCAATTGCTAAAAGCGGCTGAGGCGTTTAACGTGGACACGTGAAACACGTGGACACTCACCGTAAGACTGGTCCACAAGTTCAAAGTCTAAAACTACTCTCAAAGTTTCTCTAGTCGATAAAATTCGAAATGAAACGATTGGACAGAGAAGTGGAGTAATCGACATCGCACAGAGAACTACTGAACGCTGAAGTGGGAGTGGGCCGGTCATGTCTCCAGAAGGACCGATGGTCGCTGGAGCCGACATGGGTTAGAGTGGAAACCGCGATTGGGCAAACGTAGTGTAGGGCGCCCTGTGGCACGATGGACCGACAACTTGAGAGAAAGTGTTGGCAGCGGATGGATGCGGACTGCCCAAGACCGGGATGGTTGGCGCTCTTTGGGGGAGACCTGCGTTCAGCAGTGGACGGCAATAAAGTAAAGTAACATTAATTATTAATTTAAAAAATTAATGGCACCTTTGTCTTTGGTTTCAGATTTTATGGATCTCAATAGTGGTGTATATTTTTTATGACACTTTTATTTATTACAAAGTTGGAATACAATTTTATTATTTAAGACAAATTTTAGGGGTAAGTTAATGCTTAAATTTAACAAATGGTCATTAAACAGTTTTAAAATAAGAAGCAATTTTAAATATGAAAGCAGCTATTTCACACAACAGTATTAATTTCCATTACGTCACATTTAATTTTCTCACCTGCCAGTACTTATACTCAGACTGAAAAACGATTGAATAAATACGGGGATATTATTTTACTTTCCTGTTTCAGTTAGGACTATGCATCTCCCGTGGTACAGCGACTGTTATAAATTTATGTTTCGCTCTCGTGTTGCTTCCGATATGCAAGAAGGTTAATCAACTACTATACAGAGTTTTATGGCCAGGTTTATTTTTTTTTTGGCTGGAAAGAGCAAAGAGTTTTCACATGACTGTTGCCATAACACTATTAATATTTGCCGGTAAGCATATCTCTGCATTTTGTACATACTTACTTTTGTTTATTTTATGTGAAATAAATTAGGTATTTCTACGTTATGTTTGAGAAGCATTCTGGATTTAGTTATAATAACTAGCTGATTGCGATTCTTTGTTTAAAAGTTTGTGCGTATTTACGTAACATGTAACCTAATTAATGAATGATTTTGTATTGCTTAATCAAAAAGGTTTTATGTGTGTAATAAAGAGAATAGGAGTGTCATTAAAATACATATTTAGATATTTCTAAAACCATACTTAGTTAGGTCTGACTGGTAAATGAATGGTAAAAAAAACGGTAGAACTGTAGAAAGATAGAACTGTTATTTCCAAAATGATTCACAAAGCGAATTGGAAATGCTGTTGTACTCTTTAAACCCTACTCGTATGTAGAGCACCATTAAGTTGTTGAGACGAAGGCTAATGGCTCCAACACCACGGTTAGGATTTCTAGCTTTGTTCTTGAACTAAAACGTGGGCGTCTGTGCCTATCGTGTGTTCTGGTGCACTGCTTTTGAAATGTTTAGAGATGTTTCAATTGTATTTCTTTGCACTATAAAATGTATGAAAACTGTGCGCCAGTCTTGAAATTATTAATGGTCCATTTTGAGTGGAAGACATTGAAATTAATTCTTGGAGAACAATAACAAAAATTAAAGTGTTATTTATTGTTCGTCTCGTATCATATTCTTTTCGTTATTAAAGTGGCTTTTAATAGTTTTAAAGGCCGACTCAGCACACATTGTTCAAAGTTTAGTACGATATTTAAAAAAGATTTATGTATGTATATGTATAAGATTTAGTCATTGGCTGTTTTTCATTTTGTTTAGATCATCGTTTTGTTACATCGTTCGTTCATGATCATCGTTTCTTGGTAGGTATAATAGTAGTTAGGTGAATAAGTATAGTATCTGATCTATTGCTGATTATCTTTAAATCCAATCCAATCTCTAATTTTGTTTACCTTTAAAGATATGTAGTTAATATAAAAAATAGACTTGCAGTTAAATAAATGAGACTAAAAGTACTTAATGACAGCGAAACTAATTGAGTAAGTAAAGTAAGAAAAGTAAAATAATTAGATGTTTATTATGTTTAGGCGAACTGTTTTTATTTTAAAACTTATAGACGAAACCAATAGTTTATAATTTAGAAATATTTGTTCGGCGCTATTGTATACTTATTTATATGTAGAAACTATATTGGATTGTCTACCTTTACATTTTCTTTTAAATTTGTATCTGTTTGTTTTCCTGATAGTAAAAAAATAATATTAAATGCTTTATTTTTTAACTACTATTTTAAAATCCAAATAATTTTATCGCAAAAGATTTGAAACTTCATTTCCTACCTGACAACTGTGTTGCCCTACAATATTCACATTGTTTCCAGTGGTACATTCCATTTCCCATTGTGTGAACTTGTGGAATTTCTCCAGAGGGTACGACGAACACCATGAAGAGATTAACTTTGCCACCTACAGGAATGAGGTTAGTCACAAACTTTGGAGTGAAGGTTACCTAACTATTATTAGCTACAATTGTATGTAGTAAGTATTGTTTTAAAATGTAGGGCATTATGGTATTCACGGGAGCGTTGAGCTATATGCATTATTTACTAACCTTAGAACGTATCGTTGACTGTAGTTTTAATAAGTTTCTTTAAGAACGAAACGGGGAAAATCTTCTAGATACACAAACTAAGTATACAAATACAAGTTATTTTGGACTTTTTCACTTGTTTTAAATAGGTACTATACATTATAAAGATGTAAGTACTTTATACTTTAGTTATTGTGAAAAATATTCGAGTAACAGGGCCGAGATTTAAGAATAATGCGGAAATGTCAAACTTAAGATTAATAGAGGCATAAATAAAGAATTACCCACAAGTTCCTGCAAAACGTGAGTCACCTGGGGCCCACATCAGTTGTTACTTAATGTTTTAAACTGCATTGTATTTTAGTCCTCAAATGTTATAAGTATCTACCTAGTATAAATAATAATTTAATGTGAAAGAGTAGCTACTTAATATTTTATACACAGTACTGGTTGATTGTATTCCCTAATTGCCTTGTCATAATGATATGATGTCTTTCAGTATATGCGTTACCAAATTGTATCGACCCTGTTTGTACCTTTGCCACGGTGCGTACCAGTAAATTAACAATAGTTCGATATTTTACTAAAATTACGTCCAGTTGGAAGAAAAAATATATCATCTACATTAATTGCTTGTCTAGGCACTGGTGTCGTATATAAATCCGAGAATTTTTCATGTTAAAAATAATGCGAAAGCTTTGCCTTATCGATGATATCCGGTAACGCACAGAAGCAAATAGAATAAGAATTTTTTTGTGATGTGTTAAAGAATGTCGACACTGAAATTATACAGTCTGTGAATGTTAAAGAAGCGAGTGAGGTGTGTAAATAAGGACCGTGTTATGTAGCTCTCGGTTCTCTCTGCCTACCCGCAAATGATTGGGCGTGAAAATATAGATAGAAATAACAAAATAATATTGGTATGTCATTTGGACACGGTTAGACAGGTCTAATGTAAAAATTCGGACAATAATCTTGTGACTTTCCATGGAAGTTTTATCCGATCAGCTGACGCGATGTGTAGGAGTTTTTCCGTTAACTATCAACACTCACTTAGAATACATGTCCAAACGATATTATTTCACCTTCCAGAAGCATGACCACCTACGTTTTATATGACAATAACAATTATTATTATTATTGGATGGTCAAGTATGGAAACAAAAAAAAATCAACTATACATACAGTGTAATATAGACATTCTTCTAATGCGCCTCGTCAAGGTGGATTACTGTTGCAAATAAACCCAACTTTCAGTGCGGTACCAGGTTTCTAATAGACCTGGAAAGAAAAATATTACGTTCTATCGAAGCCAGGTCTGGCCGACTTTGTATAAGTTTTTACATTAGTCTGGTTATAATTGATAAGACAAACCCAAAAAGAATATATGTCTCTTTTCTAGCCCTTACATTTCCTTTAATTTGTCTTTTTCGCCTCCGCACTGAATGCAGGGTACGTACCAAGTATCTGGTAACGCAGCGATCGTGGTAAATAGTGAATTATAATTTATTAAAAATAATAATACAGCAAACGTACAAGATTGTCAGCTAATTAAGGTAATAAATGTTAAAATAAAACAGATCTTAAGGAACATTTAAACTTTGAAACAGCATCAAAGTTATTAGACTTAAAAGACTGTAAAATTACATTCGCACATAGTAATTAGTTTTGCCTACTACATTCAATCTTTAGTTACGCATTGTTATCCATACTAATATTATAAATTCGAAAGTGTGTCTGTCTTTCTATCTGTCTGCCCTCTTCACGCTTAAACCACTAAACTGATTTAGATGAAATTTAGTACAGAGATCGTCCGAGTCCCGGAAAAGGAGATAGGGTAGTTTTTATCGCAGAAAACATCTTTTAAGTTGGTGTAAAGGGGGGTGGAAATTTGTATGGGGAATCAATAACCGCTAAACTGATTTAGATGAAATTTGGTATGAAGATACTTTAATTCTTGATGAAAGACATAAGCTACTTTTTATCGCGATAACTGACATTTACGCGGGCGGAGCCGCGAGCAAAAGCTAGTAATTAATATTCTTGAACATAAGAATGCGTGCTTTGGTTAGTAAAATAATTTTATGTAGTATTAATAGGAGAAAAAAAAACAATGCCTTACTGCACTCTGTGTAACTAAATGAAATGAAACTTTTTTTCGGGAACTTATGAAACACTTCTTCCAGAACCCCGTACGTCTACTACTCAGCACTGCAGGAGTAACAGGCGTAATAATGCTGATCATCACACTATGTATGGGTCTTACATCTATGAGGTTTGTGAGGAGGAGATTCTACAACGCTTTTTGGTATACCCACCATCTGTACCTCGTGTTCATTGTGATGCTTATAATACACCCGTTGAGGTGAGTCGAAGAAAACTTTTACAAACACACACTTTTGCAGTGTCTTTTTATTAAGTATTTTTGCTAAACAGTAAGGGTTATTATTACTATTACCAACTACGGCTAAGTTCTCTTTTAAAGACCAACTTTAACTTACAATTAAGATTAAAAAAAAAAACATTAGACTATCTATTTCAGAAGACAACTGCTTTCACACACCTTTTTAAAACTTAACTTATCTGAATGTAATTCTCTTAACGATCATTTTATTTTAGATGTTTTTCCGATGAAAAAGTAAGTTCACAGATACGAATGTTTTAGTTAACGTTTTTTTTCATCGACAATAGAATCGATTTGCAACTCTGCAAAAAAGCTCTGAAAGGCCTTTAAGAATAAGTATTTTTTTGTAAGCACAACTATGCAATATTTCTTAAGTTCGTAATATAATGTCAAGGCCCTGCTTAAGGCCTGAATTTAAATGACTTTTAAAATCTCAAAAGCTTGGAACACAATAGAAATCACAATATCAGGTAAAAGGTGATTCATTCGAAATAATATTTTGTATTTATTACCTTTGACACTGTTGTTGTCATTTGCAGTACGTGCCCGGTGCCGTGTACGGTGTGTAAATAAATATTCAAACAATAAAACATCAGAAATATTTGTTACATAACATATGTCCAGAATGAAATTTTAAAATTCTTAGCTATTGGATGGTTTCATTATAGTGAATTATGGGTCTGATTATTAAACTCACAAAATTCAGTGTTTTTGGATATTTTTCAAATTGGGATTGTAATTTTTAGTGCTTATGTTCTAACGCATAAAAACGACAGGGTAGGGTATTTAGATCGTTTTTTCGTTCTGTAGAGTTCGTGAGTTCGATGATTCTCCAATATTGCCATTAAATTTAGTTTCGTTATTTCAGCGGTGTCTTGAAAGAAGAGGTTATAAAAACTGAAATTAGTCAGAATCTTAGTCAATCCTGCAATACTTCTAAATTTGTGCCTATCAAATCAAAGGTAAGTCGATCCTTATAATTGTTTTTTTTCTTGCAAACTTTTTATACATTTCGGATTATAGTAGTGGGAATTTGAGATGCAACCAGAAACAACACAAAATTTTGTGTTGAACATTTGGACTAAGTAGGTTCTTTTATTTTGAGATTAAAGCTTAAGATCATTAATATGTCTGACTAATAACTAGATAGACTATCAAATCGATGAAAGAAATGTGTCTGAATGAAAATAGTGCCGACTGTCACTAAGTTCATTTCCACAACTTGCGTTGTGCCTCATGCGTTGTTGTTATTATAAACGCTGGGTTGCACGCACATCAGTGTAACTGTCATCACTTATGGAATGCGACACTCCATCTAAACATACAAAAGATCTAAAATTAAGAGTTTCTTTCGTCAGATTTATTCATAATATAAGATAAACATAAGAAATGTATTTGAATTTTGTCAGTTGTTATACTCTTGATGACTTACACCCTCCACTGCTTCACTATTAACACAAGAAAAAAGTTAAACAAAAATACTACTAACGTTTTATTCAGATTACTAACTACGAAAAATAACAAAGTCATCAAAAAAGTCAAAACAGTAAAGAATTTAATACACTCATATTACATAGAATCTTAAGTTCAGTCATGTAATAATGGCTGGTCTGATATCTATTAAACATCAATAACATTTTCACAGATTACTAATTGTCGTGTTCAAAATAGAGCCCTTAGCGACTTCGCAAAACCACATATTAGTCTCATCCTTTCAATCAGACTGTCCCTTGGGGGAAACACCCTGCCCCTTATAGGTATATTGTATAGGTACTGTAAGTGAACTTACCCCAAAAGTGAAACTTGAGAGCATCTATAGAGTAATTTAATGTCCTGCCTAATATGTAGACGGAGATGCACTTTGGACTAATGTATTCTGAAATTACTTTATATTGTAATTCCTGAACCTTCTGTTTAAGTACAGATAATGGAGCGCATGTCATATTTAAATAGTGTCCGGACAGTGACCTAGGTCAATTGGACAATTTGATTCATATCGTTTTAAAATATTGGCCTACGGTCCTGAATTATCGAGCATATTTACTCTTTTTTTTACTTTAATTATTAGTTTAAGGCAATGTTTTTAAAGGTTTCATTACGAGAGTGTATTTACAAAAAGAATTAATAACAGACTATCAAAATGATAGCGTTAATAATTTGTTTGAAAATAGACTGTCATCCACCGATAATCCTGTTAGGGTTTCGGAAACCTAAATAACTTTATACTGGAAACCAGGTTTCCAGTATAAAGTTATTTATAATTAACAAAATAATTACGTCACCAATGGTAAATACAACTCGTAAATGTCTATTTAAGCATGTGAAACCTGTAATCTCGTAAAATGAAACTGCAGAGACTTAGCGCAAAGAGGTCCAGCCGTTCCTTTAGTTTTGTATTATTAAAGCAGGTTTCTGTAGTCCGGTTATGAATTCGTAAACAATTAGGGGGCTGTGATCACTGTTGGACGCGTTGGGGAGAACGTGCCATTTATCAACACGTACGTTTTCATGTCAATGTTTGTATACCTGTCTACGTTACTAAACGAATGAGTTCTTCAAAATCTACGAAACGAAAATCGGTTTATCAAGATAGGTGAAAATGGTTTTTAAACATTTTATCTGTGTGCTGTGTCTGTGTGATGCGATAAGAAGGTGCAACGAATGAATTTACACTATGAACCATTCTGATTTCATCTTTCTGACCATCGCGCTAATATCCTTCTTCGTTTATTTGAAACCCATTCAGGACAGTACCTTATACAAGCTTTTAATTATGATGAGATTGACAATAATGCCAGTAGTGTGTAAATACTAATAAAAATAAACATATTACGTATGGTATGGTATGGTAACGTATGGTATACCCACCGTTATTAATTTAACACAACTCAAAACTCACAACAGACACGAAATGAAATAAAAACATACCAAGAGTTGAAAAGACGTGTAGCGCTGCATCAGTTTACTATGCATATCTACTAGGTAACAAGTTACAAATAGCAAATCTATTAGAAAACCTTTAAATTACCGACTGGTTGCTGTATTTCAATTGCCAGTAGCGAACTATTATTCGGATTATACACACAAACAGGTTTCAGTGCACAATATGCTCGTTGTGGGATATACCTAATACAAATTGATATGTTTAGCAGAGGCACGGTTAATTTTCGTGTACCAGCTGTGGCCGGTTGAATGGTTGGAATTATAATAGATTTACGAGTACGTTCAGGTCGAGTCACTCATTGGCCTCGCTACAGATTTGTCCTCTCAATACGATTTCATACGAGAAGTTGTAAAATTTATGGAGCCTAGAATAAGTTGAACGGATGATTTATAGTTTCATAAAATATATAACTTTGCCGACTATGCAACAAAAGTTTTTAAATTCTTAAAGTATTTAATTGCTACAACATTTCTAAGATTCTGCTACAATCGCTTAATAGGTATCTCTATCAACCTGCCACATTATCTTACTTAAATAAAAGATTTTAATATTGCAGTGGGTTTAGATCTCAAAACTTGTAAAAAGTGTAGTGTTCTAGTAAAGCTGGTGATCGTAAATGCTTGTTAGATTTCAATTAGAATAAAACAGTAATTGAACAAGCCGTCTTTAATTTCTTATAAACGTAATCAGCGTGTTTTACCACCCGTTATCATTATAATATATTATATTGCAGTAACTCAATCGTAAATGTTGGCGTCATTTTCTTAGTAATACGTTTCGTTCCAAACATGATTCATGTGACCCAAAAACGTTTAATGTCATTGACCTTGTCCTGTAAATATCAGCTTTTATTTAATACCGTAACCATTTTTGACCTTAAGTGATTATTTAGCTAATATAATCGTAACTTGAAATCATAGTTTATTGCATACCACAAGGAACATTAATTCAAACGCAAATTAATATATTTCGAGTGAGTGCTTCTGATAATCACACCTAAAATTAAGTTATTTGTCGAATCATTTTAAGAACATGTATTGCTCTTACAAATATTTGGAATTTATATTGAATTTGGTAACTCTCCGATTCCTAGTACAGACTTAATTTGTTAATAAGTAATATAATTTCTTCAGACTACCAAGTCGCTGCGGTATCTAACTCTACCCACAGAATCGATGTGATTCCACTCCTAACACAAGTATTATTTTAGTTTTTGTAATGAGTGACCCGTGATTAGTATTCTTTTATTTTAAATGAAAAAAATCTGTACATTTTAATATAAGGATGGTAAAAAAGCTGTAAAATTAGGACCATCATAATTATTCCATCCACACTGTAATTGTACCACCGTTAGAAAATCTCGGGTAGAAAACTTTTTCCAAAAAACTAATAGGCTTATTTTCACTTTTCAATTGGCATTGTCTTGACCAGGCAACATCTATTAGAATGCAATAGTCATGGCTAGACATCAAAAAGACAAAAAGGATTTCAATACCGACTACAACAAGTCATGTTGACAGACATTGTCTGTTCTAGGAAGCTCACAATTCTGATTCTATATTTAGTGATATCTCTTCAAGGCTTTTAACATCGTCTTAACGTCGAAGACAATAGCTTAGTCTTTTTTTGTGAACCCAACAGAACTGTTTCATTACTTATATCTAAGTTGAGAAATTCATGTTCTCTTTCTTACAAACTTGTAGATTCCAGACAGTAATTTCATGTCTGACTCAATAATGACTGTATTTATCCAAATGAGGTTCATTTTAACGATGTTGTAAAATTACAGGGATGGTTGTGGATGTCACTGCCACTGACATGCTTCCTTCTAGATCTCGTGTGGCGAATCTGTACCAGGAATAGAGCAAAGGTTGAAATATTAGAAGTAAGTAATGATTCTTGAAATTCCTTCATTATGATCTACTTCTAAGATTGTTGATGACTGAGGAATGAATATAAATTTAAAATTAGGGCGTTGCTATGAATAGGTTTATCGATGGAGTTATATCGTAGTTATCAATTTCTATATTTGTAAAAAAAATATTTTGGTTTGTATGCGCCTCAAAAACTCAAAAAGTTATGCACTGGTTTATCTCAAATTTTGACACGATAACCACTTCAAAGATTATTTTATTTCTTATCATTGCAAACACGATTTGCCACAGGGTACAGCTATTATTTATATTTTTCTAAGTGACATTTTGAAATAATATCATCGTATGTAAATTTGTATATCGTCCCTACTAATATTAGAAATGCGAAAGTGGCACTGTCTGTTTGTCTATTACGCTTTCAAGGCTAAACCGCTAAACCGAAATAATGAAATTTGGCATGCAAATGCTTTGATTTTTGAGGGAGGACATAGGTTTTTTACTGTGATAACCGACATACACGCAGGCGAATGCTAATAAAAATATAATTTTTATTAGGTAGAGTATCCAATTTAAAGTGTTAACTAATAAAGGAAAAAAAATGTAATTAAATATATAATGTGATAAAATTTGTCACGAATGTATCTTATAAGACTAAATGTTTGTCGGCATAGCATAATCAATGGCGTATCGGCGATACATGTAGGACAGTTTAATCCAATAGCCGATCAAGCTTTGCATAATCCCCTTATCCACGTACAGTGAAACGGATTCAATGGGATTCATTGCATATTTTGAGATTCATATAGTTATGTAACGATTGATTTATTCATTGCTAACGCACTATTGTTAATGTAGATTTCGTAAATCAGTTCACGGTGTGCACTAAAGAGTCTATCTACCTCTTTTTCTTTGTAATACCTAAGCTAGGACAGTTACGTAATCATAAGTAAAATTTAAGTATACTTACTAGTCACTGACTGTATATAATTTTATAGAATGACTGAAGATCCTGTGTATGGGAGAACCAAGCAAATAGATTTTGTAAATCAGTTCAGGATCTTCTTTAACACATTTTTTTTTGATGAAAGATTCTGGCCTAACTCAGGACCTAACATGATATTTTTATCTATTGGATGAAGTTAGGACTCCCAACGTAGTCTATTTTATAATAAGTACTTAGCAGTGGTAATATAATTGTAACACTTTACTGGCTTGTTACGTCATGTGTTGGGGTAACCTGTAATTGTGGTGAGCAGCTGAATAAATAAATAAATATATAGAATATAATTTTGATCGATAGATTAGTGACAGCGTAAAAGGGCATCCCAACAAAGTCACTTCCAAATTTATATTATTAGTTAAGATGTACTTCTTTTTGGTCTACACACCTTTGGTAAGTTCTTATTAAAGTTTGTTCACTGGAGTGTGTCAGAAATATAATGTAAAAATTCTGTCGTTCTACACTCAATTTACAAAACACAATGTTGTAGGTACCTACTCACCAAAAAAAATCCCAGGAGTAATTTTGTATTAATAGGATTAGAGTTTGTGGATTAATGAACACATCATTCTCCTATAAAGTTAAGACATAACAGCTTACCCTTTGTAATAGTAACAGCTATGAGGTGACTGTAAGATAGTTTAGATGGTTAAGTATTCCTTTACTATAAGTACACATACTATATAAAATTCATTTCAAAAGAGGATAATTAAATGAATTTAAAATGAGTTTTATTAGATTTCTAAATCGCCCGCCGTACGAGTACTACTGTTTTATTCATATTCTATATTGTGTGCTTCCTGTTCATTATGTGCAATTAAGAGTCTATCTACCTATTTTTCTTTGTAATACCTAAGCTAGGACAGTTACGTAATCATAAGTAAAATTTAAGTATACTTACTAGTCACTGACTGTATATAATTTTATAGTGTGACTGTATATCCTGTATATGGGAGAACCAAGCAAATTGTCGACTTTAAACGGTACGGCAATAAGTAGACGCTTTTGAAGAGCACCGCAAAACCGAGCTAGATCGGAAGCGCGATGCCCTAAAAGCTAGACCACCAACGGCCAAATTCTAAAATTACCTCAACGATGTCCTAACTTGTCGCAAATGTTCGCGTACATTGAAACAGAAAGTCTGCTACTGCAGTCACCTAACAGCATATCAATCGGCCTAGCCCTGCAATAAACAGACAGCAGTTACTGTAGCCAGCAAGGAGAGAAATGTATAACTTATAATTGTAATCGGCATTGCAGGTGAGTCATATGGCCGGACATACAATCAGCTTAACATTAAGCTGCCCACACGAGTTCCAGTGTCAGAGCGGACAGTATGTGTTGCTGCAATGTTTAAACGTGTCACTCATTGAGTGGCATCCCTTCACCGTCGTTAAGGTACGTCACAACCACATTCGTGAAGTGTTCTAATTGTTTCATTACGTCTATTTATTTACATATGTTTGGTGGTATTTCTTTTAGTTTTAGCTTCTTGTCTCGGAATTATCCGCGTGTTCATCCCGTGGGTGTCGTAAGAGCCGACTAAGGGAACAAACTACGCAGGACAACAGCACTACAGGGAGAAGGAAAACTTGAAACAAACCCTTTTTTTTAACGTGTGGAAACCCCCTCGTGCCGTCACCCCAGCGGGGTTTGCGGCGGGGCGGTGTGTGGGAATCGAACCGACTAAAACCACACGGAGAGCCACTTCGTGCCTGAGATTAGAGGGGTCCGGGAACAGCTGTTATTAAGACATTCGGACCCCTCCCAGCGCCTGCCCGCAACAGCGCGGGCACCACAAACTCTCGATTTAGGCGACGTCCGGCACACGCGGACTAAGTTTACGTGAAAATTCGGTCTTATTTTAAATAGGACCGAATTTTTACTAAGTTTGAGCAAATGAAGAATCAAACAGAGTTTTCTACCACTTGGCACTCCAGAAAAATGCCAAGATTAGAAAATGGAATCAACTGAAATGGAACACTAAGCTTAGAAGCTTAGTTTATTGTTCTGTATTTTCAGGTTCCTACATCATACCAAAGATTCTTCGTAGTATGGATAAGAGTAAAGGGTGATTGGACTGAAGCTTTACAAAAATTATTATTGGGACGGGCGCCTCACGAGATCAGGTAACTGTCACTGAGATATTTAATTTTTAATCTAAATACAGTCTAATCCATATCCATGCTAATAAGTATTATAAATGTGTGTGCGAAATTGTGTCTGTCTGTTACCTCTTCACGCTTAAACCACTGAATCGATTTAGATAAAATTTGTTATAAAGATAGTTTGAGTCCCGGGCAAGGACATAGGATAGTTTTTATTCCCCTTTTCACCCCCTTAAAGGATGATCCTTCATCTCTCTCGCCCTCTCCTTGAAAAGGGGAATAAAAGCTATCTAAACTAGAAAATACGGGTGGAAGTTTATGTAGGGAATCAATAACCGTTGAACCGATTCAGAGAAAATTTGGTATGAAGATAGCTTGATCCTCGGGAAAGGACTAGGCTACTGTTTACTGCGATAACCTAACCCACATACACTCGTCGGAGCCACGGGCAAAAGCTAATCTCATAATAAATCTTCGTAAGATTGTAACTATGTCCGCTATATTGTAACACGTCACTTTATCTTGCTAGACACATGGCTTTCCTAGCTTTCATAGTGAACGTAAATTTTATATTGCTGGACTCAATAACACAATAATACAACACGCACGATTAATTTCTTTCAAACCCGAAGAGTTACGTAATGTTTGCAGTATGCTGGTAGACGGCCCATTCTCTAGCCCCATGGAGGGTGTGAGTCGCAGCCGAGTGGCGGTGTGTGTTGCGGCCGGCGTCGGGATCACGCCCTTCGTGCCGGCGCTGCAGGACATGCTGCTGTATGTATTAACTTTAAAGAATACTCGCAAAACATTTTGTAGATAGTGCTTACAATCCTGGAACTATTCATGGTCTTTAAGAAATGGGTCCAACAATGGGACACTTACTATACCTGGGTACTGGTATTTGAAGCCGAGATTTTTATAATGTATCTTTCATTTAGACTTTTGGAGCGGGGAACTTTGGGGAATAATCATCGTTCCTTGACTTGCAAATTCTTTAGTAATTTGAAAGTTCTGAAGTTTATGAAAACTATATTGGTTGGCTATTACAAAAAGACGTTTGGCACTCGGGGACTGCCGCGGTAAAGCTATTGCATAGCATTTTGTATCAACTTATGCAATTATAATTATTTATTTATTTTATTTATGCAGTATTTCTTTTTCTTTGATATTAATTCAAGTTACACTTTTTGAGCGTGGTGACCGATAAGAAAACAATTTTTTTTCTTTTATTAAATAAAAATATTGAAGCATATATTACAATTTGTTTTTAAATAAATAAATAAAAAATATTATTATTAAATCAAATTACATATCCATGTAAAAAAATTCTACATTATGTTGACGAAATTTTTTTCGTAATTGTGCGTATTGATCCATGATTTTAGTTTAGAGTCTACAGTCATAGGAGACGATTTCAAACAATTTAAAATAATTATGAAATAAAGATGTTTTGAGTTTGAGAGAAAAGAGATGCTATGTATTTTTCGTTTTTCTTCCAGAAATCCAAGGAACCGTTTACCAGGAAGAATCCACCTTCTCTGGATCGTCAGAAACGAAAGTGAACTAACCTGGCTAGCAGCCCTCGCTAATCAATCCATATTACAACTTCGAAACGCGAACCGCCCAGATAGACTGCACATAGAATTTTATGTCACCGGCTCTAACAAAGACGCTAGTAATAAAGATCAAAATCCTATAGCACATATGGTTGTGGATGAAAAAGGACTCTCACATATCATAAGAGACGAAGAAAGAGTCACTCTTCTTACTCCGAATAAAAAAAGGGTTACGAATGAAGGGAAGAGAGAAGCAAATGATAATTACAGTATAACGAAGGAGTATCCTCTGATTGGCTGTAGAGTTAGACGAGGCAGACCGCACTGGGATCGAGTTTTCGGATACTGGGTGCATTTATATCCTGAGTAGGTTGTTTTTATTTTGCACATGTGTGATCTTTTAACACGAATGTTTATTTTATCATTCATCTGTTATTTTTATGATAATTCTTTCAAGTTTACTATAAAATACCAATTCTTTGAAATGCAAGCCTTACATTCCTTTGATCCCCTTTTTAATTCATTCCCGTAACATAGTAGACAGTGTTAATTTCCATTATCTGTATGCCATCACTTATTGATTCGTCAAACTTCCTCTATCTTCAAGTGATAATACCACTCAAAGACAGACGAATTAGTAATCAACGAAAAGTATTTTATCATTTTGTTTACATTGTCATGTTTTGACATTATGTTTTCAGGGACCATCTGAACGTATACTGCTGTGGACCAAAGAAATTAGTGAAATCATTGAGAAACAACTGCAAACGCGCTTCTAAGACCAGTAAAACAAAGTTTACATTAGTACACGAGGGTTTCTCTTGATCAGTGATATTAACCAGTCGTTATGATTAAATTGCATTTATTGACGTACTTATACATATCTATGTTTGTCGTTTCTTTTATATATTAACCCTGTCACCGAAAGACGTAAGAATTGTTTATGTAGAAAAAAACAAAGAAATCGAATCATAACTTGCAAATCAACGGAGCGGCCTATGTCCTGCAGTGGACTATTGAAGGCTGTAGATAATGAGATGAAATTATGCACATAATTCGCAATAGACACTTCATCACCGCTTGTACTATGAGGCCTGTTATATAACCGGCTGTATCTTAACACTATTATAAGGTTTTAACCAGTCTGTCTTCCTGTATTTACGTGTTTTGGGCATATAATTATAATAATTGTGTGGGTTTTCACCCACACAATTATTATTGAAGCCCTAGTGAAAAACTAAACACAGGTAATCTTGGCCCAACGGGACCAGTAAAACCAGTTTATATATCGGAGACACTTACCAGTAAATCGCAAAAGCTTTTCTATCTGGCTAGGAATTTTCAACAACAGTACAATTACTCTTTCTGTTGGACGTACACCATGCGACGTCCAGCAGAGTAATTGTACTGTTTTTTTTCCTTACAAAAACAAGAAAAGGCTCCTCACATTAAAATATTTCTGAAAAAGATCTCGAGAACCTTAGGAAAGCAGAGGGACTAGTCTGTGGGGCGGTTTCTACTAACTCTATAAAAGAAAAAGGTAAAATCCTACTGTTATCAATAAGTACGTTCCTGCCATTTATTTTAAAATTTTGCTTGTAAATTAACAATTATTATTATTTAAGTACACAATATACACACTTTGGATTACAACATATATTTACCGTAGATTTTAATAAATTAATGGCTCGTATCAGTGCAAATCATCTTAACTGTCCATGTATGAACCATAGTTCCATGGTTTGTCTGGAAACTGCAAAGAAAATGTTAAAGGTCGAGAGATATGCCAAAGCTATAGTAAGCACCAAACGTATAAATATATATATGTACCATCAACGAGCTCACATATGTCTAAGTCGTTCCTCTTGTGAAGGACATTGATGAATTTGCTGTTTCAGCATGTCATGAATGTTCTGTTGACGATTGCATCAAAATATTGCCATCGTATGCATCTTTAACGATTTTGACACAGAATATTAAATTAAACTGCAATTTTCGGGCTTCTAGGTTTTATTAGCGAAACTAAAAATCGATTTTGAAAAAACGTTAAGCAGAAATTTTGAGAGGGGCCTAATTCAAAATGGTGGTAAAGACAGAAAAAGCTATGGAAACGATAAGAACTATCACGAATACATCTAAAGAACGTAATTATCCTAAAGAATTGCTCACTATAGCTGATACACCACAGAAATCGATTAATAGAATTAATGAATACTTTTGTAATATGTGAATGGATTGTCGACAAATAGCCATACTTCTCATGAACAAAATTTGCACTCATTGGCATTACTTAACAGAGATGAGAACGAGGTTTACGGTATTATCTCCTCTTTAAAAGAAGAATGTTCTGTTGGATGTGATGGTCTGTCAAACAGCTTATTCAAGGAACACAAAAAATTATTGCTCCGCATTTAACATATATTTTTAAAATATGTTTGGCAAAAGGTATCTCTACCAAGGACTTCAAAAAGGCTCAAATCCGTCCCATCTATTAAGGTGGCGATAGAGATGGTATTGAAAACTACAGACCTATTTCAATCTTAATCTTCAATATCGAAAATCTTGGAAAAAATAATTAACAATAGATTGATCGACTATCTTGAAAAGCAAAATATTCTATCAGGTCATCAGTTTGGTTTTCGTCGAAGTCTAATTAACTAATGATGCGGTTAACAGTCTTACAGATTTCTTAGCTACGAATCTTGACAGAGGTAATAAGTGCATTACGATATTTTTGGTTATAGCTAAGGCGTTTGATACGGTCTTTATCCAAATCCTCTTGTACAAATTGCAAAGGATTGGTATTAGGCGAATTCAACTTCAGTGTGTTACGCTGGGTTCGCACATAAGCAACGAGGTTTTGGTTACTTATGGCGTGCCTCAAGGCAGTATTCTTGGGCCAACTCCTTTTCTCGTTTATATAAACGATCTCCTAAGTCTAGCCTCCTTTCATGGAAATATTATCTCATATGCAGATAATACTGACCTCATCTTTACTGCAAAAACATGGGAGGAAACATTTCAACTTACCCAAAATGGATTTTACAGGATTAGAAAGTGGATGCAGGTCAACGTATTACGTTTAATTAAACGTTGACAAAACGCAATACCTGGCTTTCACTATCCGTGGTTCCGTAAACACTAACTTAAACTTAATCGTCCACAATTGTCCGCCTGGTGTTCCACAAAATAATAGATGTATTTGTGAACCACCACATATTTGTGAACAACCACACGATTTGTCATATGATGAAACTGAGTCTATAATTACTGTTTTGCAATGAGTTACTTATTAGAGAACTTTGCTGATTATATAGAATTCTACAATTGGACAAAATTTTGGTACAATAAATTTTACTTACCCTCTGACACACACGCACTCATCCTTGCGCTTAACGCACCCAGAAGACCCCTACATTACATCACAGTAGTTGTATAAGTTATGTTATGATCTTTTTCATTGATACTCATAACGTGTGATTACGCTAAACTACATAGAAGGATAGAGGGGCCGTATGCTGAAGCACAGGTTTCCAACCTAGTTCAGCAACGGAGGCAATTAATATGACACGCTTCGTATATTGATAAGTTTGCTTTTAAGTGGAAAATGTTTGTGAAAAACTGTATACACATAATTTGGAACAACAAATATTATAATTATTAATTTAATAGATAGAGGAGCTAAATAGCCGTCACTACCATGTAGTTTTAGCATACCTTGCTGTCTTTATTTTCTATTCTTCAAAACTAAAGCCATGGAGATCCCACGCACTCCTTATATTTACTATTTTAATACACTACTCACAAAACATCCTGCCCACCCTGGTATCATACTTGCCTAAGAACCTTTCATGTCCGGTCCCCGACGGAATACACAAAATAGTTGCCCTTAAAAGAAGAACAGAATTAAATTTTATGAACGATCTAAATCTACTACTACCAACTTAAAAACCTTTATAGTGAAAACCACAATAGCTTTCTCTCTATTTCATACAATTGGTACTATTTACAAGGTGGTTTTGATAACAAAATTATTTGACTGGAAACCTCTTTGAAATAGCTTGAAAGACTTATCTAATAACCGTAAACGCGTACTGTCAAAATGGTGACGGACAAATCAAATTATTTGTAACAAACATCTACAATACCTATGTAATTGACGATAACAGGTAAGCAAACATATTATAAGGGAATGACGCCTGGATTGGAGACAAAAGAGAAATCTTTAAAAGAGAAGAAAACTAAGAAACAAAAAACAAAAAAGGTATGCTCTGACAGTTAATGTTGTTACTTTGATGAAATATCTTAGGTTTTGAGCACTTACGCATTTGTGTTTCTCCATATTTTCTTCGTTGACATATGTAATGTTTATGTAAAATTTTATTTCCAGGCAAAAAGTAAAGTGAAACAGTTACTGAGAATTAGATGTCCCATCTGCTTTAATAACTTAGCAAAAGGTACCGTTGTCTCGACGAAGTGTGGCCATGTGTTTTGTAGGCATTGTCTTCAAAAAGCTTTGATACAGAATCCAATATGCCCTATGTGTCGGAAAAGATTGGCTGGCTTTCAGGGCTATCATTCCTTATACTTGGACCAAAATATATGTGACGATTTTGAAGATATAATAGAAGAATTTGGAACATAATAGGAGAAAGTACTGTGACCACTATTGTTTTGAGTTACCAGTATTTATGTAGATCATTAATTAAGATTTTGTCTTCAAATGATAGTGCTGTATTGTGAATAAATTTAGTATTATTGTCGCAACTGGGCTCAAAGTATTTATTTTTGTTTTATTTGTAAAGGTATTTGCCAATGAACCCACGTTTTCGTTCAATTTAGGTGAGGTGACTTCAGTAATAAATAAAATACCAACTTCAATTTATGAGATTGAATTTGAGTGTTTCGGAGCCCCAAATTAAGAAATATTCGTTGCTGAACGACTAGGGAAACGATCTTATGAACTCAGTAGGTACACCGCACCGTCCGTATCAAATAAATATATATTTGTGTGTGTGTGTGCACACTGTGCTAAAGTAATTTTGTATTATTAGACAGTTTTTTTAAATGTATTAGAATTGATTTAGTTCTACGTGTACTGGGATAATAATAGCAGACTAACTAAAGCGCCACGCACAAACCAAGTTAACAAGAACCTAGCACTTGAACATCCTCGTTCATTATCTTTAAAAACAGTCTAGCCACATGCTTCCTTACAGCGGGTGGAAAGTTAGCAAGTGTAATCAGAACAAGAAAGACTAGTAAAGCAATTCTGGAGGGGGACGATCCCCATGAGATCGAGGTCACTACATCTGTTACTTTCTCCCCTTATTTTGGCAATAAGCTTCTTTGAAACCTTGTTGCTTTATTTTACTCTATATCACCTATTTTCCGTTTCATTCCACAGTGTTACATTTTTGAGAGGCATTAAGGAAAATCGCGTAGTCAGTCACGAAATAATGGTCAGCTGTAGCAACTAAAGTGAATAAGTGACCAGCTGCCATGCGAAGACATAAAACAACAATTAAAGGTTTTACTCGAGTAGTACGACCTATGTATTACGGGGATTTGGCGGACTGGTTAGTTAGTGGCGAGTATCACGCTTGACATCACGCGGTTGACCGTTTCACTCCTTAACAAAGGTCCTCCATAGGATACGAAACTAGTCGGATATTCCATAAATAAGCATGTCTGTAAAACCGTGTGTCCGTTATAAACATGAAAACCATTCATTAAAGTTTTTATTTTAAAGCACAAATACTACAGCTACAGCCTACTGTTTGTATACTAAATTTATGGTTATGCATTATTACTTGATTAGACACTTTTGCTTGACTTCTTAATTATTTTTAGTAATTTAGAAATACAACTAAATCATTCCATTATTTGTGTCCAATCGAGAAGGCCATTTTATTATTAAAGTTATTTTTAATTTAAAAAAAAATGCACCTTCAAGAGTACAGATAAGAGCGCTCTATAGAGGAATGGTATTTTTAGGTAAACGTACAACTTTACAAGTCAGTGTGAGGAAGAGAACGGAACGTGTCTGTAACGTCACTCTTGTTTTATTGTCTGTCTTGTCTTGTCACTTTTGTGGTGCATAGAGTACTACTATGTGGTGTTGTGTGTTTAGGGATATGCAAAATTTCAAAAGTATCGATACTTTACTTGATACCAGTATCGTATCAAAAGTATCGTTTTAAAAGTATCGATACCTGAAGATATCGGGAATTTTTTATTCATTTGTAAAAAACCCGAATGGAGAGTTGTTTGTGTTGATAAGTAGAATGAACTGAAAGATTCTGTGCAAATAATGCAATAATACCATTAAGTTCTGCAATTTTCAGAAAACTGAATTAGTGAAATAGTTTAAAAGACAAAAAAAATCGGTTGTCTGTAAAGTCGGTTTACTGACGATAGTTGAACGTGACAACGTCATAAGAAAATACTGATGGAATGGTTGCATTTTTCAAAAATGTATCATTGTATACGAGTAGCAGCTGTCCACGCGGACGCATCGCTCACTCAAGTAGGAGAGAGACAGATGTCGAACGCTGCCGAACGCGGAGGCCGATTGTGCCTCTTTGTCACTCGTTCCGCGCTCTCGCTTGCACTTCACGCCTTAAATGGAACGCCTCAGAGCGAGGTAACGCCGCATGAGTCATGTTTTTTCGTGCGTGCAGCCGGCTCTATCGAATTATAAGACGTTGTCACGTCAAAACGCTACACAGATTATTCAATCCGTAAAGATCCATCTATTGCATGTCGCATTACAGCCGATTCAAAAAAAAAGTTTTACATCATGGTTTCATAAAATCACATCACACTATTTTAAATTTTTTCTTAAGCTAATAATTTATTAGAAATGGTTAGAACGAAAGTATAGTAGTAAGTATACCTCAAAAGTATTGATTCTAAAAGTACTTGGTATCGAAACAAAAGTATTGATACCCTGACGTATCGATACTTTTTGCGTATCCCTAAGTGTGTACTGTGTAGTGTAGAGATCAGGATCAGTCAGTTGTCATAAAATTTCAAAATAAAGCAAGTATCTCGTGTTAATTATAAAATTTCAAAGGAAAACAAATGAATTTAAAAGCAGTCATGAGCAGTAACGACGAATATCAAAAGCTGTTTAAGAAATTAGAAGATGCCGATACAACATACAAGAATTTTGTTAAAAAATTCGCGAAATATCATTTTCAAGTCAAAGCAATAATACAGGTAATTTTTAAAAGTAATTATGTTAAAGCTTTATCTAGGAGACAATTAGTATTTATTTACAAGTATTTCATAGATAAACTGTATGTTTTTTAAATATTCAATGCACATAGATTACTATGGTTAAAATTTTAACAACCTGCTACAAAATATTCATGACATGGGATTTTGAAATTTTGGATTAGACTTTTAAGCCTAGTTTTATATTGTAATTGATAGCCACACTTGATTCGAATGTTTATACCAATAAGGAATGCCTCCCTTAAAGGCATATAAAATTAGTTTTATGCAACCGTTATAGCATTTTGTATAACTTTTTTCCTGCTACTAATTCTTAATTCACCTTCTGATGGGTATATATACATTATTCTGATCATATAATGGCACACAATCATCAATGTATTTTCCAGGATATTTTAGAATGTAGAGAGTCTATGGAAACTTTAAACAAGCTAAATGAAAAGGGCAGAACTGCTATATCACAATTGAGAGATGAGTTGGAGAGCCTAGAACTATACGGAAAGGAAATGGGGGATATGAAGTACTCTTTAGAATTGGATTCGCAGCGGCATCAGTTAGCTTGGTAATGTCATTGTTAATTATATAAATTTCACAGTATGAGTTCTTAATAAGCTCCACATTTTACTCTTTTTAGTAAATACCGGTGATATGAAATAAATAGCTTGGTATAGTAGGCTAAAACCTCCTTTCTGATTAGAGGTCTATGTCCAGCAGTGCAATATAAAAGGCTGATGATGAAACAGCTTATTAGTATCATCTATACTAATATTATAAAGCTGAAGAGTTTGTTTGTTTGTTTGTTTGAATGCGCAAATCTCAGGAACTACTGGTCGGATTTGAAAAATTCTTTCAGTGTTAGATAGCCCATTTATCGAGGAAGGCTATAGGCTATATATCATCACGCTAAGACCAATAGGAGCGGAGCACCAATGAAGAATGTTTCAAAAACGGAGAAAATTTATTACTATTGGTAGACGCAGACGAAGTTGCGCGGGTCAGCTAGTAATAATATAAAAATTTGGCACACACATGCATATGATCGTCTCAACCCACACAAGACAGAGCCTAGACTACTATGAACTAATACTGCTACTTATACACTTCTAAATATATACATATTATATATCTGTTGGGTGTTTTCTATGTATAATATGTATGTATTTACAAAAAAGTATATGAGTATTCTATCAGTCAATCTAGCTTTCATAGTACAAGCTCTGCTTAGTTTGAAACTAGATGGAGTTGTGTGTTAGATGTCCGAAAAATGTTATTCTACATTTTTATTATCTCTATTATATATTAATAACATCCAGACACCAAATTTTTGGTTATAATATTATTATTCTATCCTGGATGGGAATCAAGGTCACCTCCTGGGACTAAGCAGTTACGATCACTATCCACTTGATAAATAAACCAGTTGGTTATTAGAATTTATTATGATTTAAGCATATTGAAGTTGATGATGCTATTTTTAAATTTTTTAATCCACATACATACTCCCTCTGAATTTGCACAACTTCTGCATACTGATCTGTGCAAATTCATCTGTGTATCGGATAAGGAATAAATTTCAACATTCTTCATTAAGACTGCTGCTATTGGTTGGTTGTAGCGTGACTCTGCTGCTATTGGTTGGTTGTAGTGTGACTCTGCTGCTATTGGTTGGTTGTAGAGTGATGTTAAAAAACCTTCTTCAGAAAATGGGCCATCAAACAGTAAAAGAATTTTGCAATTAAAACCAATGGTTTCTGACATTAGTGCATTCAACCAAACAACAAATTCTTTAGCTGTATAATATAATTATAAATTATAGAATGACAGAAAATTATATCAAGGAAATATATCTATAATAAATACACATATTTAGAAATTATAGTAGGTACGTTTTTTTTATATAAGGCAGCTCCCATATCAAGATATTCATTTGTCGTGGTGAACTTTAAAAACATACATGAAACGGACATTAAGAACACTCAGACTCAGATCAAAAATTTGTGGATTGTGTGACAATATGGGGATCGAACCCACAACACTCAGCGCAGTAGGAAGCGGCGTGGCGAACGCCTAAACCGTTACACCATCCGTGCATTGTTTATTCATAAACACAATAACATGTGCCTGGTTGACGGTAACAGGCTTGCGCCCTATTGTGTAAGCGGGATTAATATTACAGGCAACAAAATGTGGGCCTTTGTTTGCCAAAAATACACAGACATCAGACATAGTTTCGAGGACCCTTCGAGGGTAAAGACTGTATGTACTGAGAAAATAAATATTTATTATTATATATTCTATTAATTAAATATTTTTTTAACTTGCAGTCTTCTTAAAGAATTTAAAGAAGCCAACCTGTGCAGTATGTTTAAAATAGAAAAAGCTCAAAGAGAAGAATTGTTGAAGGCAGCTGATGGAGATAACACTAGTCTTAGAAATAGGAAGAATAAAGTTGACAGGGATGGATTGCTCAAAATGTCTTCAGGTATCTATTACAATCTCATTTTCGCACACATAAAAATATTTATTCATGTTAAGTTGTATTGTTTTGACTGACTTTTGGTCAGCAATATGATTTAAGTATGGGATTCATATTTAAGTGTTAAAGGGATCGGTAAACCACCGTTAATAAATAATCAAAACAGTGAATGACAATGTAATTATGTACTTGTGGAGGAACGGGTGTCATGTTTTTCCAACACAAAGGGAGAATCTTCTGACCAGGCGCGGTGATCATGCCTGGCGGGCCGCGGCCCAAGGATTGATGTTGGGAAGTGGTAAAAATGCTAATCTTCGAGAGAATTCTTCATATCGCGATACAGGAATTAATGCAATTGTGCTATAAGAGACCACAGCCAGTGCATCCTGGTCACAATGTCACGTAACGCAATTAAGTAATAGGTGACCACAACTAGTGCAGCCTGGTCGAAATATCATGCAACGCATTTGTGTACTGCCTGATCGAAATGTCACGCAACGTAATCACGTAATAAGTGACCACAGCCTGTGCAGCCTGGTCGAAATATCATGCAACGCATTTGTGTACTGCCTGATCGAAATGTCACGCAACGTAATCACGTAATAAGTGACCACAGCCTGTGCAGCCTGGTCGAAATATCATGCAACGCATTTGTGTACTGCCTGATCGAAATGTCACGCAACGTAATCACGTAATAAGTGACCACAGCCTGTGCAGCCTGGTCGAAATATCATGCAACGCATTTGTGTACTGCCTGATCGAAATGTCACGCAACGTAATCACGTAATAAGTGACCACAGCCTGTGCAGCCTGGTCGAAATATCATGCAATTCAAAGGTAATTTATCGTGTTCGCGTTAATTCCTGTACCTATGCAAACAATCTATGTTAACAATTTCTTAATATAATGTACAAGCTTTCTCCGATCATCGACTTAGAAACAAATTTTGTTTTTCAGGTGTAACAGAACAGCTTTATCCATAAGCCGACAATTAGCTGACACAGCGCAGAGGAGTCAAAATACTCTTGACAACTTGGTTTCATCAAGTACTACTGTCCATGTAAGTCCTATTTACTAATTAATTATAGAATAAAGATCACTTTGATATTACTTTATAATTGAACTTTTGTTTCATGCAGCTTCTATTAAAATCGCAGATAAAAGCAATCATCATCATCATCATCAACAGCCTTTAGTAGTCCACTCCTGGACATAGGCCTCTCCTTAGAAAGGAGGTTTTAGCAATAGCGTCCCATAATCCCAAGTTACGTCATCAACACTGGAGCGATGTTTGAACGAGAACTTTTTGATAAAGCTGGTTAATTTTTGTTGAATTGTTCTAGGGCACGCAATCAGAGCTACAAAACACAGCCAGCACGATCTCACAATCCGGAAAGCTTTTGAAGAAATATGGTCGAAGAGAGTTCACCGATAAAGTGATCATGTTTTTTGCATTTCTCTTCTTTTTAGCAGTTTGCCTGTACATTGTACAGAAAAGGATTTTCTAGTTTCTCTGACTATATAGATTTTATGCAAAGGACTGTATTTAATTTATTACGGATTATATTATAATGAAATGTATGTTATGACTAATAAAGGTGCATTATTTAATACCAGATTAAGTTTTCTTCATAATTTATTCTTCTTTGTTGCGTCTGCGACGAGCCGAAAATCAATCAAGTGGCGTGCAATGGGAGAGGCCTGTGTCCAGCAGTGGACTACTAAAGGCTGTTGATGATGATGATGATGATTGCTTTTATCTGCGATTTATTTTATTTAACCTAGCGGGTTGATGATTATAATTTATTCAGCAAAACGATTGATATTTATGGTAGGACACAAATATTTCTACCACCTTTAAGATGATTATGGTTTTGAATAAATTGAAACACTCCAAAAAACATCAATCTTCTCTATGAAAACTTAAAATCAATTTATTAAAAATATTTATCCAGTCTAGACATACAAGGCAATGGAAATAAGTGTTAACTTTGTAACTGATATGGTTTGTCAAGCCGTAAATGAAATTATGCCTGATTTGCAATTGTATAATACCTAATACTAGGTACTATATAGATACCTTTATAGAGTTGAGCATTTTCGAACGCTCAAAACACTGCTCCATTCAATTCTAAAGCCGCTAAACGCTGTGGGAGCGTTTTAGTAAAAAAATATTGAAATTTTGTACAGAGTTGTAGTCAGAAATTAAAATTATTTTTAGATGATTTTTAAACCACTTCAAAATTCATTGGTTAAAGCCATCTAGTGTATTTACTAGACGTATTGACGCCTTTCGTAAAGTTATCACAGTATATTGTTTTACAAGTGTACGCTAGGTGGCGTTATTGCAAGTTCAGTCTATTTAAAAGAACAGTATTCATTTAATGTAGCAACTGACTAAATACACAAATGAACGAGATGAATGATGTTTGGTATTAGTAAAGATAGTTTAAAAAAATATTCTGTCTATCTGTTTAATGAGTGCTTGTTAAAGAAATGTCCAATACCAAGTTTATTCCCCAAAAATATTTGCATTTTCCAAGATTAACATTTTTCAAATGCAGTGCCGCATCACTTAGGTCATCGTCACATTTATATCCAATTTAATTTCAAAAATATAATATCTAATATATACAATTCTCGTGTCACGGTGTTAGAAGTTGAACTCCTCCGAAACGGCTCGACTGATTTTCGTAAAAATTTGTGTGCACATCGGGTAGGTCTGAGAATTGGCCAACATCTATTTTTCATACCCCAATTTTTTTTGACAAATAATAAATTTGCGGTACTTGTTATTTTCCGGTGACATATCCACCATTTTCCATTTAGTTTATCGTTATTTGAAAAACTTGCAAATCGCCACCTTTTCTGTATTTTCTTTAATTCGCATGCATATAAATTCCATCTGCGAATCGAATACCGTACAAAACGACTGACGACGAAATCCTTACTACACTGACCAGCAGCGAACTCTACTCTATAGGTAGTTAATAAGAGCAATGTCAGGGCCTTCAATATTAATACCATAATGTCTCTAGGAATAAAGCGTTTTGAAAAATTGTGTAGCTATTAATACTAATTGAGTCGACGTCTGTGATGTGTAAGGTTATTCGTGATCTGACCATGGACCGACCCAGTAGCTGGTACCATACTTACGTAATCTTTAGAATAATATTATTATTGACTTAGCTCTTGCTTTGTTAGCACTTTAACTATGTCAGATATTGCCTGATGTATCATACGTAATATTCACTCACTACATATCTTGAATCGTCGTGTTCTGATTTTAAATCCACAGAGTTATTACATACGACTTTAAGTAGAATATTATCTTTTTTTCACAGCGTTAAAGATAGAAAATTTATTTATATTTATTATTTACCAAAAAAAAATTGTTATTATATGTTTGGCGAGTCAGTCTTTCGTAGCAAAGCGTCTGGAAAATGTGTTTGGTGAGAACTTATACGATGTATTTGGGAGTTTATCCAGCTGCTAAAAGCAGCTAAGTAGTGGCATTTTGTCGGTGTATTTGGCATGAAATATGTTTTAATACTCCTTTTGACAAACCCATATTATTCTTTTTTAAATTACGTTATTGGAAAGGTATGTTTGGATTTTAATTCTGCGATATGATTACGAATCAAGAAATAATTTTAATATTTTTTTAAATATCAAAAAGTTGCGGTTAGAATGCGATGTATGTTGCTGTGAATATAATTATATTGTAATAATTTGATACAAACATTTCAATGTATATATATTATTACTATAGTTTATTACTTAATACAACATAGCGTATTATACTCATAGCTGTGGTACGAATTTCACACGCACGGTTGCGACTGCGGGAGTGAAAACGACTGGTGCGGAAGCTACGTATTTTACAGATAACTGTCCTATTCAAATAAATGATATCCTATTCAAACGAATGATAGTTTTTAAGATTAAAAAGTATTGAAATTATCCTAAATATAATAATAATACTCATCGAAAGTATAACATGTACTTGGGTACACGCAAAGAAGCCTTTGATTTTCTAAGGCACAGTTTTAGCAGTTTCAGTGCTTTTATTGAGCGCAGTTTAGATCGTGCCATTTAAACATCTATGGTAGGTCGAAGTGTTCGGTAAAGGATTCGGAAAACAAGTCCATTTGATTTTGTTTTCAAACAAATATATCGTCGATATGTACTACTCGTCTCTTCTTATGTAACAGATAGTATTTTCTCTTCTCATTTCCTTCATTTAGCACCTAATGCTGAGGCCGAAGGTGTTGAGCCTACAGCCTGTACGCGTATGTTACGATGTCGCCGCTATATGTAATATTGTACGCTGCCAGACAAGTCGTGATAGGTCAATATTACAGCTGCTGCAAATTTCAAATCTGAGTAAGTTTGTAATAATGTTGTAATGAATTTATAAGACGAGATATGAAATTGAAAATCGTCTTTCTAATCCAAAGGCTCTCAATTTAGAAATTGTACTCGTACTTGCATAAGGAGATAGCTTACATTACAATGTACAATATCCATACAAATAAAAATACTCATACAAGTACGAGTATATATCAATACAAATAATAATCCGTGTCGTGATGTATTAAGAATACGGAGAGTCACCACCCCTATTCATAACATGGGTGTAAGAGCAGACTAAGGAGCTAACTACTCAGGACACCAGCACCATTCAATTTCATTTCAGAAAAAGATTTAATTTTGTGAGTTTAGAAAATGAATCCAAATTGACGATATTCTCTTTTTAACTCATAAGTTGCAAATATGAAAAACAATTGAATATAGTGACAGATTTTTCTAGTATTTTTTTATGTCTTACTACTATGTTTTACTATAGTGCATCTGGTAGAAAGATAAAAAGATGAAAAATGCATTAGCATTACAGCTTACATTTAAAACGGTGTATATACGAAACGTTTATGCGGTCGCAACCTAGATTCGAAGCTAGAAATATTTTAATCAATACAAAGATACAGTTAACATAGAGTATGTGTCTGCTGGAGTGCAAGCACAATCAGTACTACTTGATTTTATAGGAAACAAACTAAAAGATGAGTAACCTGATGCTGAGTGACTACCGCCGACCATGTACACCTGCAACTCAATATAGGCATGGCATAAAGTCACAGTCAACTGTGATTAATCATATGATTTTTTTAGATGTATGTACCACATGTAGTTGTTATGTATGTATGTATGTATGTTATTCACGCTTTGTTGCCAAAAAGCTGTTTTCAGGCGATGCATAAAGACCCTATTTTGCGTCCATATTTAACAGTAAATCTTGTTTTTTTTATTATTATGTAGGTATGGTTTATGTATACGTCTGGTATCTTAGGTAGGATTGTAATGTTATGGTAAATAGGTAAAATAGAGTTTTAATGCGTCGTCTCAAAACAGCTTCTATAATTATTTTATTATTATGTAGGTATATTATTATAAAAAAATACTAGATGTACTATTAAATAGTTAAAACAGCTTATTGGCAACGACGCGTGAGTAAATAGCAACCCTAACCTACGTATGAAGATCGACTAGAGAAACACCCAACTTTGCACGGTGAGCGGCATTAAACTTGTGGACCAGTCCAACGCCTTGGTTTTTAGCGACTGAAGGATCGGTGACTCGAAGATATGACGAAAGCCCAGACGAATTCTTCTATCGGCCTCCCGATCGAAGTTGTGCAGGCCGAGTTGGATAGTTTGGCATAGATGATGTATTCTTGCACAACTTCGACAGTAACGTTTTTTACGGCCACGGGACAGAACTAGCCAAGTTGTTATAAAATTAATTAGCACGCAAATAGCCAATTAATCATAAGGATATGGGTAATTACGACGTAAAATAGAATTAATACTCAATAATAAATTTATATAGCTCTAAGAAGCTAGGCTTATCAATATATGCTCATGTATAAACATATTTACGAGAATATTTCTCAGTATTTCGATTTACAAGGCTTCACTATGTGGAACGGGCTGATAACTGTGGTTCGATGTTAGTTCAAGGGAACCTTAAGGAAATATAGGAGTGTGTAACATGACTGCCCTGTAAACATTTCGTAAATGAGTCAGTGTAACGCGAATATAGGACGACCTCCACCTTTTGCTAGGGTCGCTAATATCTAAAGATTTGTACTATATACCTTTTAAATTGTCTACTATACTATAAAACGCACAAAGAACAAATAAACATACTTGTCGTCGATTAACTGCCACTGGATTGGTCATAGTTTAGTGTCATACTAGCTGACTCGCGCAACGTGGTCTGCACCTCTCAAAAGAAATTATCTTGACCCGTTTTTGCAATATTTTTCATTGATGCTCGGCTCCTTGATAAGTGGGCTATTTATTTAGTTTTAAACTTAATGCACATATTGTACAAAAGGAGGACTTAATGCCTTTAGGCATTCTCTCCCAGTCAACCTTCAGGTGATGTAGAAATATGATGCGGTAGGTGCAAAATAAAATTTGAAATTTAACATAATTTAGGTCCA